AATTGTTTGGTTAGTTCACCAAATCCGAGCTCGAATCTTTGGCTCGGTAAATAGTATATCTCAGCCACATATCTGCCGTTATTGAAATACACCCCTTTTAAAGTCAAGCTTATGGAAATATTTTTGAATAAATCTTCTCTAAGCGTCAAGCAATCTTTCATTTATCGAGGGACACACTCCTATATTTTGACATGGTTTCTTCTGAAAGTGAGGTTATTTTTCAAAGAATTTAGCAAAATAATGCTTATTATAGGAATATGTCTCCCCCCTTTCATAAACATTTCATTGACGTCATCGAATAGTGCAAACCAATGTTTCTTCTTTAAAAATAACTCTGATCTATCAGGAGTTTACCTGTTTTTAATATAAAGTTGACGCATTTATTATATAATCTGTGAACTCAATTGACGTAACACAAACATCAACCGAATTTAGCCATACAAAAAGATGTAATTTGTTAAATATCTGTTGATGCTTTGGCTTTGACGTGCCAGCATTACAAAGAGTATTTTTTAACTTTTCATGCGAACTGTTTAATAATTCAACCTAAAACTTGGTTTACTATTCAGGACGATTCATCAAATCATGGAAGCTATTTTCAATATTTTGCATGTTTTTAGCTGATTTTAGCTATGTTTGTGCTCATTGCAGACATGACTGACCGTGCATTGTCGGCATTGCTGTAGTTACAGCTTTATTTTCGTCATATATGGCTCACAAAACTGAAGTGCTCTATATCAAAAAAGTTTTAGCTGTTACGTTCATCGATATGAAGTAAATGTCCTTGGTTTCTTAAACGTATGAAGATAAAGTCATTCTTTATTTATTTAACCCCGAACATCTAAATATCGGCACAAGTACATGAAGTGCTCATGAAGTATGCATTTCTAATTTACCATCTCTTTGTAATGTTCAACATGCTTACTTGATTAAAAAATTTATATGTCTGTAACATAATAACGAAACAATTTATTAAATACAAATTTATTTCATAGATTTTACTTGTAAAGATTCCTTTAAGCTGAGGTTTAACTGTCATTATATTTTATTTTGGTGAGCTTTATTTACATATTCTGAAGTAAACTGTCTAATACAATCAAATGATCTCACTCGCAGACAGAGTGTACAAAAAATTGCAAGAGTCATCGTCAATGCGTTGTGTGACAAAGCATTCCAAAAAGTGAAACACTTTGATAATGTAGATTTTGCACATATAAATTAAGCTTATATTTTTATATTATCTATTTTTAATGAGCTTCATTAACATGGCTTACTGAAAATAACCCATGGTCAGTTTATTCGGAATTTTCGTCTTCTTCAATTGCATAAGCCAACGTTAAAGAAGAGTAGGAATTTTATCTAGAAGAGGCTTATGTTTTTCAAATACACTTGACGAATGTTCTAGATAATGTTCTAAATTTGATTGCAAACCTATGATTGGTCATGTGTAAAGTTTGTTGGCTACGTCCTCCTTTAATGAGGCATGCTCCTTGATGTCAAGGTCATATAAATAATTTTTTAATTTTTTCTCTGGGAGAGTTTCAATCGTTTCGTTGAGATACTTTTTAAACCTACGGTTTATTTACCATTACACTTATATTTTTCAATTTGGTGAGCTGTATATTTACATCGTTTAAGCCAGATATTTTCTTCGCTTAATTTTCTATTGTCCTCACAGGACATACACCCTAAGCCAGAGAGCACAGAAAACAGCATGAGTCATCATCAATAAATGGATTTTGTGACCGAGCAGTAAGCAGAAAAGTTATGAACGAATTGAGCAAAAAACAAAGTAGGTGCCAGTTCTTTCGATAGCATAACTTCCGACATGAGGAAAACGTTGCAAATCTGTCTTGAAAATGCCGTTTTGTAACCTTGCTAAACGTGGACTAAGACTTTGCGTGATCATACTTAAATTAAAGTATACATTTATTCCTAGCTGACTTCAGTGTGCGTCTTTCGGCTCCGTCCGGTACTTGATAATTCAGTTACGGTTGATCTGAAGTGTAAGCTACAAAATTTACTCTTCCTATGGCAGTGTTGCATTTTTGAAGTATTTTGTATGCAAAAAAAATTGGTATTTTCTTAGTTGTAAAATTTCTGTTTTGTTTGAGATTCTACATTGATATGTATATTACATAGATTGGGCATTACCAATATGGTGAGTGCAAAAAATTTGAATCCCGAAGTAGACAGCTATAATAAGATGTGCCGCCATATTAAACAGTCCCACTCACAATAATAATCTTCTATAGTAAAGAACTACAACAGCAATGAATTTTGGAACGCATTGCTCTTATACAACATAATATTCAATGTGAAGCTAGAAGCATTCTCTTGCGATAATACCTCTTAAGCGGTGTTACAAAAATTTTGAAATAAATCCTTTCTTTATAGAACAACTGCTTCCTACACTTAATTTTGTTCAAGGTAATATGTAGCACTTTGGTCAATGCGCCTAAAGAGACTTTTCATAGCAGAAAAAAAAGTAATTTGTTCCATATGGCTGCCTTCCGGCTTCAAATTTAAATAGTGATGCGCGGCCACATAATATACATATCAATGAGATTCTAGATAATAGTTGCACCTACCACATTGAAAAAGTTTACTGAAATAAGAGTAATTCAAGTCACTTGTCACTCATTTTAAACTGTGGTGCAAGTTCATGCTGCAATGTTAGGTAATGTATGAGGTGTTTGGTCGGCACCATTTCTAAACGTTAGAAGTCAAAGCACTTGTCGCAGGTCATTGACTTTCAATATGTGCGTTGTTTGGCAGTAACACAAATGGGGACACTATTAACAGCTTTTGTTAAAATCTAGGTGAAAATTAATCACAACAAATATGTAGAACTAGAAGTCAAGTATTTTACAGCAGGTATGGTATATCGCAGATGCTATGAATTTGTCAATAAAAATCAGCATGTTGGTACATGTTGTTTTATTCTATCACTCATACTTTGAAAACTTCTTTCTACATAGCGAGCATCACACTCACATTTGAACTCATACTATTCATTGCTTGACATTTATGCAGGCAGAGACTCTTTGATGGCGGGTGGTAGAATGTTTTTTTCCGAAAATATGAAGGCATTAACGTTGCAAGGGAAAAACAAAATCTCGTTATTTTTTTTAGTTTCCCGGCCAATGTCATTGAGACCTTTCCTATCCAAGGAGATTTATCTCGTTCATTCATAGTTGATAAGAACAGGAATTTTTCCGGATATCCATTCGAAACAAAAATTTTCCTTAAAGAGTTGAGATCACTCTCAATAAATTGAATTAAAGAACCAATTGTGATTCGTTCTTTTATATCGTGAACAAATAGCAAAATATCGATTACAAGCAAAGTGATGAACGAGTACACATTCATGCTTTTACCTGCTCAACTACATATTTTCAAAAATTTTATATGAATTAATGAGAATAAAGTGAAGTGTAAAGTATGCCTTTCTTAACGTTCAACAGGGAAATATTTTTATTCCAAAGATTTTGTCACTTGTCTGCTTTAATTCCTATGCGATTTCTTAATTCATACGCAATTCAGCCTTTTGTATTTTAAAGTCTGGCGAACTGACATCAAACACTTAGTGATAGTTGGGCCATGCGTCAACGATTTTGTCAATGACTTAAATTTGTCTAACATGTACTCGCTCGTCAACTTTTTGGAGCGGTAGCCTATATTTTGCTGTTTGTTCACGCGATAAAAGAACGCATCACTATTGGTTCTTCCATTGGTTGTATTTGAGCAACTGGCAATCATCGCAAACAGTGAGTTTTTTGCCTTGCGTGTCCAAATATATCAAACATGCTTCATTTACGTGAAAAGTTTGCATGAGCCATAAATCTCAGTAAAATTTATCTGCACACAGTGAGCTATCCCCTGAACTAATGGGGACAATTAACTTTTAGCTCAGCTAATAGCTCTCGTGTTATGTAGGCTTAAAGGCACATTTCTTAAAAGACTTGTTACATCAAAAGAACACATCATTAGGTTTGGAAACAGACAGATTTACTTGGTTCTCAGCTTATTCGTAAAAGTGAAGGAGTCTTTTAAAGCACATGTTAAGAGCCTGTCTAAAACGGGTATAAAATTAACACTGACAATTGTTTGGTTAGTTCACCAAATCCGAGCTCGAATCTTTGCCTCGGTAAATAGTATATCTCAGCCACATATCTGCCGTTATTGAAATACACCCCTTTTAAAGTCAAGCTTATGGAAATATTTTTGAATAAATCTTCTCTAAGCGTCAAGCAATCTTTCATTTATCGAGGGACACACTCCTATATTTTGACATGGTTTCTTCTGAAAGTGAGGTTATTTTTCAAAGAATTTAGCAAAATAATGCTTATTGTAGGAATATGTCTCCCCCCTTTCATAAACATTTCATTGACGTCATCGAATAGTGCAAACCAATGTTTCATCTTTAAAAATAACTCTGATCTATCAGGAGTTTACCGGTTTTTAATATAAAGTTGACGCATTTATTATATAATCTGTGAACTCAATTGACGTAACACAAACATCAACCGAATTTAGCCATACAAAAAGATGTAATTTGTTAAATATCTGTTGATGCTTTGGCTTTGACGTGCCAGCATTACAAAGAGTATTTTTAAACTTTTCATGCGAACTGTTTAATGATTCAACCTAAAACTTGGTTTACTATTCAGGACGATTCATCAAATCATGGAAGCTATTTTCAATATTTTGCATGTTTTTAGCTGATTTTAGCTATGTTTGTGCTCATTGCAGACATGACTGACCATGCATTGTCGGCATTGCTGTAGTTACAGCTTTATTTTCGTCATATATGGCTCACAAAACTGAAGCGCTCTATATCAAAAAAGTTTTAGCTGTTACGTTCATCGATATGAAGTAAATGTCCTTGGTTTCTTGAACGTATGAAGATAAAGTCATTCTTTATTTATTTAACCCCGAACATCTAAATATCGGCACAAGTGCATGAAGTGCTCATGAAGTATGCATTTCTAATTTACCATCTCTTTGTAATGTTCAACATGCTTACTTGATTAAAAAATTTATATGTCTGTAACATAATAACGAAACAATTTATTAAATACAAATTTATTGCATAGATTTTACTTGTAAAGATTCCTTTAAGCTGAGGTTTAACTGTCATTATATTTTATTTTGGTGAGCTTTATTTACATATTCTGAAGTAAACTGTCTAATACAATCAAATGATCTCACTCGCAGACAGAGTGTACAAAAAATTGCAAGAGTCATCGTCAATGCGTTGTGTGACAAAGCATTCCAAAAGTGAAACACTTTGATAATGTAGATTTTGCACATATAAATTAAGCTTATATTTTTATATTATCTATTTTTAATGAGCTTCATTAACATGGCTTACTGAAAATAACCCATGGTCAGTTTATTCGGAATTTTCGTCTCCTTCAATTGCATAAGCCAACGTTAAAGAAGAGTAGGAATTTTATCTAGAAGAGGCTTATGTTTTTCAAATACACTTGACGAATGTTCTAGATAATGTTCTAAATTTGATTGCAAACCTATGATTGGTCATGTGTAAAGTTTGTTGGCTACGTCCTCCTTTAATGAGGCATGCTCCTTGATGTCAAGGTCATATAAATAATTTTTAATTTTTCTCTGGGAGAGTTTCAATCGTTTCGTTGAGATACTTTTTAAACCTACGGTTTATTTACCATTATACTTATATTTTTCATTTTGGTGAGCTGTATATTTACATCGTTTAAGCCAGATATTTTCTTCGCTTAATTTTCTATTGTCCTCACAGGACATACACCCTAAGCCAGAGAGCACAGAAAACAGCATGAGTCATCATCAATAAATGGATTTTGTGACCGAGCAGTAAGCAGAAAAGTTATGAACGAATTGAGCAAAAAACAAAGTAGGTGCCAGTTCTTTCGATAGCAGAACTTCCGACATGAGGAAAACGTTGCAACTCTGTCTTGAAAATGCCGTTTTGTAACCATGCTAAACGTGGACTAAGACTTTGCGTGATCATACTTAAATTAAAGTATACATTTATTCCTAGCTGACTTCAGTGTGCGTCTTTCGGCTCCGTCCGGTACTTGATAATTCAGTTACGGTTGATCTGAAGTGTAAGCTACAAAATTTACTCTTCTTATGGCAGTGTTGCATTTTTGAAGTATTTTGTATGCAAAAAAAATTGGTATTTTCTTAGTTGTAAAATTTCTGTTTTGTTTGAGATTCTACATTGATATGTATAATACATGGATCGGGCATTACCAATATGGTGAGTGCAAAAAATTTGAATCCCGAAGTAGACAGCTATAATAAGATGTGCCGCCATATTAAACAGTCCCACTCACAATAATAATCTATAGTAAAGAACTACAACAGCAATGAATTTTGGAACGCATTGCACTTATACACCCTAAAAAACTTTTAAATCGAAGCTAGAAGCATTCTCTTGCGATAATATCTCTCAAAAGGTGTTACAAAAATTTTGAAATGAATCCTTTTTAATAGTACAACTGCTTCCTACACTTAATCTTGTTCAAGGTAATATGTAGCACTTTGGTCAATGCGCCTAAAGAGATTTTTCATAGCAGAAAATAAAATAATTTGTTCCATATGGCTGCCTTCCGGCGTCAAATTTAAATAGTGATGCGCGACCACATAATATACATATCAATGAGATTCTAGATAATAGTTGGACCTACCACATTGAAAAAGTTTACTGAAATAAGAGTAATTCAAGTCACTTGTCACTCATTTTAAACTATGGTGCAAGTTCATGCTGCAATGTTAAGTAATGTATGAGGTGTTTGGTCGGCACCATTTCTATACATTAGAAGTCAAAGCACTTGTCGCAGGTCATTGACTTTTAACATGTGCATTGTTTGGCAGTAACACAACAGGGACACTATTAACAGCTTTTATTAAAATCTAGGTGAATATTATTCACAAAAAAATATGTAGCACTAGAAGTCAAGTATTTTACAGCAGGTATGGTACACGGCAGATGCTATGAATTTGTCAATAAAAATCAAGACGTGAAATCTGAAGAAATAATCCTTTTTTAAAATTAATTACGTCGAAAACCAAATCAAAGTTGGCAATTTTTGAAGGAGAAGGCTTGTTGAACTAACAGCACAAAAAAAATGTTAGACATTTAACGATGACTCTCAGATACAGCTATGCAGTATGTGCGAGTTATGCAAAGTACTTTAGCCCTAAGCGTCTTCATAGCCGGTTATTATATTCGGTTCTTTCAAGTGATGCTTCTAACACACATAATAAGCTAATGTCATAAGCGTATCTTTATAATAAATGCAAATCATTAAAAGGGACATTATTTTAACATTCATCTAGCATAACTTCCATAATATTTTTTTCTTGAATACTTGATTGAGACGTGTCAGTAGGAGCGTAAATATAATGCTATTAGGAAGAGAAGGCGTAACTATTCATATATTCAGCTTTGCCTGACTGATCTGCTTCGAAAGCACTCATGCATTGGCGCACCATATTGTGTTTTATTCATTTGAATGAGACGAAAATGCTTGAATAAGATACCATTTTGTGTACAAGAAGGTTAATTAAGTTTAATTATGGTAGAGTTCAGTATACATTGTATATGCATTGAAACCACATCAAATGAGACAAAAGCGAATACAAAATTGAATGCGGCACATTTGAAATGCAGCGTAATAAACAGACCTTAAAATTATGCTAATTTATAACAGATTCCTTCACTAAAGTGCTCTATACTAAAAGCTAAATCAAGTCTTCGATTATCATTCATCAGCCAACTGTTGTGAACAGAAGAACAACGATAAAAATAAATAATTATGAAGATAACTTATCTTATCATTGCCGTTGGCTTGCTTTTTACTGTTTCTTACGCAGCCGATCAGCGTGTTTATGATGAAATTTTGAACGGTATTAATAACTGTAAAGCTTATATTTATTGCATGTTTATCCGTTTTTCCAGATCACTTGCTAACTCATGTTCATCATTGAAAAACGAAGGTTGTTTCGTTTAGAATCGGATGACGAAACCAGACCAGTAGAAAACAACGATAAAGAATTAAATGAAAATGATGACGACGATTATGATGATGATGACGATGAAGATGATGAAGATGAACAAGATGAACAGTGAGTAAACTTTTGTTTGGTAAAACTTTAACTCGAAATTTTTTATCGAGATTAAATGTCATACACACAAGGGCCAACCCCAAATCGCGTAATTGTCTTGCAAGAACAAAAACGGGTGGGTATATAGTTTTGAAGATAGAAGTGTTAGGTTTATCTCTGAGTTTCAATTCATACTGTTTACGCCCAGTTTATGGTCTATTTACAAGAACAAATTTCTTTTCTCAAGACAAAAATCAAATTTAAATTTTGTTTTTCGTTTTTTACCGTTGGACGTAGCTCGAAAATTCAATCCAGTTTTGTTTTTTGTTTCTCGCGTTATACTGCATAAACAATATACAGATGAAGAAATATAACACTGCAGTTGTCTTCAGTTTTAAACAGTCTGGGTGGGGGTGGGGAGGAGTAAACATTAAATCAAATTTGTGTGTGAAAAAATAACGAATCAGCAGGAAATCAAAGTATTATTATGCCCGTTTCGGGGGTTATTGACGTCGATTTATTAAGGAATTTCAGTCAAATACAAAGAAACACAGTGCGTAACCTCTGAAAGAGCATTATCCTGGTGTTAGATAATTTTGAACTCGCATTATCGAGCGTGTTTGCCAAACGCATAGCATAAAAGAAAGGGTACTGTTTGCGATACATATCTAGACGTAATGGTTGAACAAGCAGTGCATACGGCATGAAATTTTGATGTTAAAAGTTTCATCCTCAAAAAAGGTTGGAAATCAAATTTAACTGTAGTCTCTCGAATGGATATATGCTCGATGTTTTTTTGAAATTGAAAACTTTGTAATGTTCGCAGGAAGAATTTCTACCAAAAGCGACATGTTCTTATTTATACAGTGTATCAAAAGTGTGTCGAAATCTAATGTGCTATCGCGCATTCGATCTTGCTTTGAACGTTAATATTTTTATGTAGGAAATGAGAGCGCTCTTGAGCTTTCCAATGATTTGCTTTTATTTTATAAAACTAAAAATGTTCGTATACTTAAGGTCACATGTCCAAGCCACAAGTTTTTATGTGCATAATATAATCAGAAATGATCGAGTACTCCTTAAATAAAAATTGTAGGTGAAACTTGCGTTTTTCCATTGTTGGGAATGCTAAATTATTTGTAATGTGTTAATAACATTTGGAATGTAAAAGAAATAATAATGATTAGTGTTTGAGAAAATAATAAGTAAGTACAACGATAACAATTGCCAATAATATATCAACTTAATAAAACAAGTGATATGATATTTAATTAATTATGCATGTAACCCATATTGTTATTGTGTTTTTGGTTGATGTTCATAGGTTCACACTTCCTTTCAAAAACCATAAACTAATTTCTATTTTTTTAAATGTTTCTTACTCCCATATTCGTTCTCGTTCGTTGAAATTGTTACGTACGGTTAAGTGCAGTTTTTTCTTCAATACTTGATGGCAGATGAAATGATAATTAATGTCGACAAGTTTCTTTCCAGTATGATATTTCTGTTTTTTCGACAAACTTTTTGTCTGTTACTTCTTGATTATCCTTTTTTATGATAGTTTAAGTGAAGTTAAATCATGTCGTAAAACTCTTAACCAAATTGCTTTCGACAGGCTTGTGATGCTGCAACTTACTCACCTTCAGAGGACGAAATCGCCAAAATACTTTGCTTTTAGCTTGCCCAACTTAATAATCTAATAGAAATCATGAATAGGCATTTTGAATTTGATATTCGGTTATTTGGATTACATCCCCAATCAGCATCAAAAAATCCACTCAATTTGACTTCAGATTTCGTATTTCTATCAAAATGAATGATAGAAATGAATATCGCCTAGATCTTTTATTTCAAAGCGCTTCTTCCTCCTCTCCTTAGCATTTTTCTTGTTGTTACTTGCAGCAATCATATCATCTACATATAACGCTGAAAGCATGATGTTGTTTCTCTTTCTTTTGAGAAAAAATATATGATCAGATTTGGATTTAACGTAACCGATATTCTCTGATTACTAGCAATGGTATCAAAGCAAAATCTCAAAACTGCTTCAAGCCGTATATGCTTCTTTTATACTTGCAGACCTTTTCCTGTCCCTTTTCTCGTATCTTTCATGTTGCTTTATGTATATTTCCTCTTTAAGTTTACCGTTCAAAGATACAGTCGACTCATCAATTTTATGTACTTCCAAATCTAACGGCATTGCCAAGAAAAAGTGATGTCATGTATATTTTGCTACATAGAGAAAATGTTTCATTGTACTCCAAGCCATATTAATCTAAGTATCCGTTAGCAGCTAATTCAACTCTGAGCCACTCCATTCATTGTGCCGTCTTGCTTGGCACGAGAATCTATGATTTGATCACATTCGAATAAGTCAACCAATGTCCATGTATTACCTGCTTGCATTTCACCTTATCTAGACTATAAAAAGCTTTATTAATGTGGAGTGATTCATCGTGAAGGATAGACTGAGCATAAATGCCACCAATTACCTGTAATTATAGCACACCATGTCGACCTGAAGATTTGTAGATTTACTTGCATTGAATGTCGTAGTTGCTGTTGTTCATCCTGGATTCTGTTGTGTTGGAACTATCTTGTACTTCTTCACTGACTTCATGTTTTTCTGCGTTTTCTAAAGGTTCATTACTTAGTTTTTCGGTCATAGTATCTTTATTATACCCATTTGTTACAGTAGTACATATCTTTCGTTAACCAAATGAACTTTCATTACGTCTCTTTCTATTTGAATTTCCCATTCGAAGCGTTATCTTCTGATATAGATACTATTTAGTTGTAAGACTGTACCCAGCAAATGTGTATTTTGTGGTTTTTGCATCTCATTTCTCCTTGTTTCCTTCTGAACATGCATGTAAGCTGCGCATCCAAAAATTCTAAGTTGAAGAACATCAGGTTTCTACGAATGCAAATATTCGCAAGGTGTTAATATCTTTCTCGGATAAAGCAGAACTTCCATTTTGTATCAGATGACTGCAGTACAAACAGTTTCAGTCCAGATTTTCTGTTTTAGTTTTGGGTTGCTCAGCATGAATCTTACAGCTTTTTCTTAATTCCTTCTAATAGTCCGTTCTAATACGGCCCTCTTAAAACACTGAACCGTACCGTTGTCTGATCGTACACTTTTAATTTTCTTATTAGTGTGATTGGTCACCAATGATTCAAAGTCTTCATCCATCGTCAATAGCTTCATCTTTTCTATTCATAAAGCAGACTGCTGTGTTCCACGATCCACGATTAAGATATATTATGAAATATTTACTTTCATATAATTTAAACTCATTAACAGCACTTAATTCCCAAGATATAAAAATGAAATTTTAAATTTTAAACAAACTAAAGACAACTATGTTGTTATATTTTGTCGTCTGTTTCTGCACAAAAGCTTGAGAAGTGTAAAACGAAAAATTAATTCCATTTTCGAGTTTTTTTAAACACCAAAAAGAGAAGAGCAAAACTTCACTTCGATTTTTGATTTAAAATAATGAATGAAAAACGAACAGAGGATTTAATTTGCATGATTTGAATTTTTGATTTGCATGATTTGAACTGTTGGTTTGCACGATTTGTATTTTTTAATTTGCATGATTTAAATTTTTGATTTGCATGATTGAATTTTTGATTTCATCGGAAAACGCATGGCAGAATCGTATTTGCCACGTGATTTCTCGTTTCTCACAGAACATGTTTCTGTTACTGCAATTAGAAGTTGACATTCCTTTTTCCTTGCCATTTTATATGTCGCATGGTTCTCGTTTTCATTTGACAGAACCTGACACTCGATGACTAGTCTGCCGAAATGCATTGTATCTTTAAAAAGTTTTTCAAACAGTTCTTCTTTTCAGAACTTGTTGGTTGGTGTTTTAGATGTTAAACAGTTGTTTTTAGAACTATTAGGTTATTTTAGCCATCCACCATAGCGAATGCTTATTTAAAAAATAACTTTTGAAAATTACAATGCTTATGCCACAAGTAGTTCAAAAAGATGAATGATGCGTGCAGATTTAATGTGGTAACAAAATAACACGACAACCGACTAAAACTATAGTTCATAACACGTTGTAGTTTGTTGTGCTACTTAGTAAATATGTAAGAAGACCGATGGCAAATTAATATTGGGATTCTTATAATCCCTAATTAAATTTGATTTTAATAGAACTTAATAAAGTAGAAAGTGCATACATAAATATTAGCTCCCACAAGTAATTGATCCTCAAGCGTTTCTGAACAATAAGTGACTGACTTAACAAATCATGTTATATAGAAACAATAAGGATACTGATGTAAATCTACAAAAACGAAATACTGGTTACAATCGTCGTCGATATTCTGGTTACAATCGTCGTCGATATTCTGGTTACAATCGTCGTCGATATTCTGGTTACAATCGTCGTCGCAGCTAAGCGTACAGAAACCTTTGATAAAAAAAACATATTTCATGTAGTTTATCATATAAACATTTAGCTCGAATTTACATTTTTATGTGTTTCATGTAGGAAAAGTAATAAATGTTGGCAATAATTTGTGACTAGCTTTTCTCTTTTCTTTTCGAAATTATTTCAACATGGCGTCCACTCGTTCGTAACTAATTCATTCAGAATTTTGATGTTTTATTGATTCTACATTAAAATAATAGTTGACCAATGAATGCTATTTGTGGAGAAGGTGATTGCCACGTTTTTGTGATCGCCAGATATTATACTTCAGAGTAAGGTCTCCGTGCGTAGTCTGTGACGAGTTTCCCAATACCTTCGGACATTCAAAATCGCGGCAAGACATTTGCCAGCGGAAAGCAAATTTTCTTAAGACTTAGACATAAGCTCTACATAAAGCCATTAAGTTTCGTCTTTAACTATAGACATCTTCTGATAGAATGATACTTCAATTATAAGCAGGTTTAATTGTGTATTTAGAGGGTATTAAATTTATGCATAAAGAAAGTAGGAACTCGGGATAACAAGACAGAACGGAAATTTAAAGTACTAATGAATTGGCAAGATATCGAAGGTAGTTAAGGTAGTTGCCTAGTGTGTCAGGAGAGGGCTTAGGCTTGGATATGAGATATAATTAAATCATATGTAAACATATATTTTAAGCCTCGTGTAATCAATTGTCATTCTATATGAAGGTGGCTTAAATCAAAGACGAAACGTCATGATTAAAAAACCTTTTACTTTTCTAAATTGTCGTCGTAATGGCTGTATCAAGTTCTTATGTCGAACTGGCATGTTCATAATGAAAATCTTCAAATATGGTCAACAAGGGCTTTAAGAATATGCAAGTTTGTAAGTTCCCGTTTGTTGAAGCACTCGTAAAATACACTAAATGTTTACCATAATTTCTAATTAGCAGCATTTTAAAAACACTTGAGAAAACGATTTTTGAAAGCAAACATGTTTCGACATTATCAGAATGCACTGATGGCATTCTGATAATGTCGAAACATGTTTGCTTTCAAAAAAATCGTCGTTTTTCTCAAGTGTTTACTAAATGTTTACTTTTAATTATAGTTTATTGTAATTTTTTCTAATGCTATTTGAGTGGATGGCTTTGCACAATGCAAGTGAGAGATTTGTGGCTCATAATTTGACACGTGTCATGTGCAATATTGTTATGTTCACCGTATCAAGAAAGATTTAAGAACAGAAAAATTCAACTATTTTTATATTATTATCAAATTGAAGAAAAAGAAAAAACAGGATAGTATAAACTTATCTGTCTACGACAATAATAATAAATAGCTTTGCTTCTCAGACAATATCTTTAACTCTTCTCTGTCCTCAAATCCTCACGACTATACATCCAGCAACGAATGGTCAAATATCACAAGCGTTCTCTATCTTTCGTTTTACACAATTATTCATCCTACTTGCTCTAGCTGCTCACCACTTGTTATATTGTGGGGAAGCTAATTTCAAAGCATGACGTAATGCCCTTTTTATGACATAATTGCTGTTGACATTATATGATGTAAGGTAACTAAAATTAGAACGTAACTATATAATAATAAAGTGTCAGTATAATAAAGCTAATTAATATGTTTTAGGTTATCTTAACGTCACATTATTCATTGTTATTTTGACGTTATGTAAACCATTTCAGATGTTTTTGTTAATTACTATAAAAGTAGAAGGACAAATATATTAATTTCTTTTGTGTATTTCATTTACCTCAGCAACAGAGTAAGTCAAGATTAAATACTTTTTAAGTCATTGTTGAAATGAATTATTTCATTAAGCTTAATAGCATTTTGCTTCATTCATATAGTCTCGACTCGTTTTCTGAGTGTGGGAAAAGTAGTCGTATAGAGTGTTTAATCACTGTAAAAACTAATTGGTTGAAATAACCATAAAATTGTTTACCTCAGATGCATTTAACCACTTTAATCAATCATGTGGTTTTTTTAACCAATCAATTTTTACAGCGATGGGATGCAGCAAAAAAGTCTAAAAATGCCTGATCGGATGAAAAGATATTTAAAGCCGATATATTTGTTTTCAGTATGACATTTCTGGTTGTAGACAAACTTGTTGCTTTTTGATTTATCCTGTTTTGTGATAAGTTTAAGTGAAATTAAAATCATGCAGTGAACCTCTTAACCAAATTGCTTTCTGACTTGCATGCATTGCTACAACATATTCAGCTTCAGTAGATGAGAGTGCCAAAAGACTTTATTTTTTGCTTGCCCTAATCAATTCACAAATCATGAATAGGTATCCCGCATGAATTTGATTTTCCGTTATTTAATTGGACCACATTCCCATTTAGCACAAAAAAATCCTCAGCATAATCGTGATTGATAAACTCATCGTCAATAAAAAACTTGCATTATTACGTCACTTAGTAGTCACGCACATGAAAACATTGTAATACGGCCAACTAGCGTGTGTCTGAAAGAGAATTTACTGCTGTTTTTTGTCACGTTTCTGAGTCAAAAAGTACGATTGAAGGCCCTAATTCTTTTGAGAACTCCCCCCCGGGTCTTCAAGAAATTTCTAGCTCAGAAAGTCGCTGCAAATCTACGCTAGACGATCCGATATTCGATATTTAAATCGATTATTGTTCCAACTATTGTTACGAAATCCACAGAACCTTCTCAAACTAAACCTCGTCAAACTGAAAAAGCAAGAATTAGGACGCCTTTTGCTGGAATTAAGAAACACTTGAAACCAAGAGGATCTTTTTCTCAAGTAAACTCTCAATGAAATTACAATGTTTTCATGTGCGTTTTCTCAAACACCAAAAATAGAAGAACATAATTTGAATTCGATTTTTGACTTGATGTGAGGAACGAAATACGAACAGCGGATTTGATTTGCATGATTAAAATTTTTGATTTCTTCGGAAAACGAATGGTAAAATCGTGCAAACATTGTGATGGCCACACACTTTCTCGTTTCTCTCAAACACATGTTTCTATTACTCCAATTTGGCGAGGACATTCACTTTTTAATGCCATTACATACATCGTATGGTTCTAAGTTCTCATATAGCAGACGCTGACATCTGATGACAACTATGCTAAAATGCATGGTGTCCTTAAATTGTTAAGCATTTCTTTTAGAACTAATTTATTTTGGCCCTTCACCATAGAAATTGCTTTTAAACAAAACAATTTTTGAAAAGTGCAATGTTTATTCCTGAAGTAGTTCAGAAAGATCAATGACGTGTGCAGATTCAATGTAGCAATAAAAAACATGACCAATTATATTCCTTTTACATATTTCGTGGTTATAGGCTAATCGGCTTTTGTCTGTCTTTAAACTTTTTGAAGCATCAAAACTGGAAAACATAGTGGTCATTCGCGCTTGCGCTGTCGCCACCCACCAAAACTATTGCTGATAACACATTGTAGTTTTTTGCACTGCTTAGTAAATATGCAACAAAAAGGCGGCAAATTGATAAAAGGGGAGATGTTCATATTTTCATATTTTCAAAAAGGGAGATGTTCATATTTTCATATGTTATAATCCCTAATAATAATTGACTTCAGTAGAACCTAATAAAGTAGAACGTGCATATATGAACATTAGCCGCCTTCTGGCGTCCCTCTCCAACAAATGACTGACCTTACACATCCTGTTGTGCAGAGACGTGTAAGGTCGTCGTCGCAGTCCTAGTTACAGTCGTCGTCGCACTCTTAGTTACAGTCGTCGTCGTACTCCTAGTTACAGTCGTCGTCGCACTCTTAGTTACAGTCGTCGTCGTACTCCTAGTTACAGTCGTCGTCGCACTCTTAGTTACAGTCATCGTCGCACTCTTAGTTACAGTCGTCGTCGCACTCTTAGTTACAGTCGTCGTCGCAATCTTAGTTACAGTCGTCGTCGCACTCTTAGTTACAGTCGTCGTCGCAATATTAGTTACAGTGGTCGTCGCACTCTTTGTTACAGTCGTCGTCGTACTCTTAGTTACAGTCGTTGTCGTACTCCTAGTTACAGTCGTCGTCGCACTCTTAGTTACAGTCATCGTGGTACTCTTAGTTACAGTCGTCGTCGCACTCTTAGTTACAGTCGTCGTCGCACTCCTAGTTACAGTCGTCGTCGTACTCTTAGTTACAGTCGTCGTGGTACTCTTAGTTACAGTCGTCGTCGCACTCTTAGTTACAGTCGTCATCGCACTCTTAGTTACAGTCGTCGTCGCACTCCTAGTTAGTCGTCGTCGCAGCTAGGCATACAGAAACCATTGATGAAAAATTTTTTTCATGCGCTTTATGTAAACTTGAAACTCGTATTTACTTTTTTATGTGTTTAACGTAGGAAAAATAATAAACTTTTGCAATAATCAGTGTCTACCATTAAGTAATAGTTAACCGATGAATGAATATTTATGACATTGACTAATAATACTATTAGTTGAAAAATCTGATTGCCAGGTTTGGATGATCACCAGATATTACATTCGGAGTAAAGTTTCCGTGCGTAGTATGGAAGGAGTTTCCAAAATATCTTTGGATATTCAAAATCACAGCCAGACATTAGACTTTAATAGAGCATTACGACAACAAATTAGAAAAGTAAAAGGTTTTTTGCAAATTCAAGCCATGCAAGTAATGATGATGCAACAACTGCGACAACAATATCAAGCACTTTTAGCATTATTAATGGCTAACTCTCGAAGTGTGCTTCTAAAATTTTTAGTTAAAAAATGGTATGTGCAACACACAATAGACAAGTTTTATATGCAACTTTTGTTATATGTTATGAACTCTCATGCAAATGTAAATCAAGTTAAATTTGTTGCGAAATGAAAATATTTAAAAAACATGTGTACATAACAATGTTTATAATATATGTTATATTTAAAATATTTCCAAAAATCTATTCAACTGAGATACGTACAATGCTTATGCTGTTGTTATAAGAAATCAATCAATGGTGTGGTTAATTACAATAACTTAAGCATTATAAGAAATTGCGAGGAATAAGGAAGAACTTCCGAAAATCTGTGAAATATAAATTTAATTACATGTAAATGTGAATGTCGTCAAACAGCGACCATAAATGGAATGAAGAGATTACAACTATCAAAAAGCTCATTTATAGTTAACAGTACAAACCAGTTGGTAAAAGCCTGAGATATTTTCCTTCCTTTGGGATCATATTATATCTTTTTTGTCCATGAATTTTAATACAGTGATTGTGATATGTCTTTAAATATCGACAAGGATTTAAAAGATTCTTCCTTAGTTTATTTTTAAAAACCCAGAGAAGTCTGTTGTCAATTCTCCCACGATTCATATCAATGTCCATTATGTTCAATACCTCATCGCTGATAGGCTTTGTAAATATCAATATATAAGTATCGTGAGATCCACTATAGCTTATTTCGCAATAACCGTGTGTTTTGGTCAAATCACATCGCTTCTCTTTTTTACCATGCCGGGTTAACACATACGCAATGTTTTCGCTTTTCAAGAAGCTAACATTCAAATTATTAAAGCCTTCTCCAAGGTAAACATCCATGTTTGTTATAGCAAGTACTTTATTTTGTAGTCGCTTGTTAATATAAGTAAAGAAATGTTTGTACGATGGCATTCCTGTGTAAGGAACGATGGTGATCTTGTGTTTATTTCTTAATGTAATGTTATTTAGACGCTTTTCGGCAGTGTCTTGATTGATGAAAAGGTGAATAGTACTAACGAATGGATGATCTAGGTTTCGTTGAAGAGTTTCTTCGATTTCTTCCTGTCGTTCTTTAAACAGATCGATGTTTGATACACTTTGCTTTTGCGACCACGGTTTCAAATACATTATCGGGTAGTTTGTCACGAGGTGTAGTCGTTGTTTAGGACGGAATTTTCCAGTTCCCCAACTTGTATTGTTTAAATAAGCACCGCCACGGTAAACACATTCGAGACGTATGTCGCCGAATTTTTCTCCGCTCTGGAATACCTTATAACCTAATAATAATAATACTATTATACATAAGCCAAATGAAAGTTTAACGCGCTTCGTCCACTTAGAAAGGTTCATAGTTCTTAGACAATATAGAATAAAAGTCCTCCACTAATCTCCGTCTGCATGGTCCTACTAAAAGAACTTGTGTTGTGTATGCAAATCAGTCATGCGTATAAATCCTCAGCTGTTATAGGAATAATGATTATACAGAGAAGAATCATGCACACGTGTGCCGTTTCTCCTTAGGTTTACATTGTTTCAAACGCATATTTAATTTCGACAATATATTGAAGCACAATAATCTATAGAGTGTGTCAGCAAGGTGTCACTCGTCGTCAAATTTTATCTGTTTCTCTTTTCGGTCAAAATATTTGAGTTATTTTCACAAGCCAGTTTTATAATTTAAAACTCTGATAAAGCAATTTACAGAAGCAGCCGTTACACTATTGATATGATATGTAATAAAACGCTCGGAATAAATAATTTGCGTAAAGAAAGACAGCACAAATGTGCAACAAGTCCTTGTATACATCCGACATTATTGTAGCCAAACCAGTTGATTAGAGTCTGTTCCATGTTTCTAAGCACTAAAATAACTTTATAGTCATTAGGTCATTTCAGAGTAGTGAATTTGATAATATTTAGACTAAAGAGGTGACCCAGGTCATCGAATGGCTGGGAACAAGTGACAAAACATTATCAACTGATTTGAGAATGGAGACCGATATGCGCGGCACAACCTCTGAGAAAAAAACAACATGGGTTCCTACAGGTGACAATAAAGACTATTCTGTGTGTTTCATATTCTGTGATAAAATGAAGCAGATATTAAGTATCTACATTCGGTGCAAAGTTGTTGCAGGAGCAATCTTAAGAAAATGTTATTAGAAAATACTAACTACAAAACAATACGGCCGAAACTACTCGAATATATTGTACACTCGTAAGACATCAAGTTTGGGCGGAAATTAGCATAAGATCAATTGTTCGGTTGTGCGAATGATTTTCGTACTCTTCACAAATATTCGCTCGCTAAAATGTAAAGACGGTTGTCAAAAGTCAAAACTAATTAGCTCAAGCCATAATACAAACGCTATCTTTGCAGGTGACACAATATTAGAAAAGACACTAGTCCCGAGCTATTGAATATTTTTGTGAATTACGCATGTGATTAGCAAGTGGCAGCCAGCAAATTGCATTTTGTGACTAATAGGAGCGCTGAGGTGGCTAGCCGCAGCCAGTAATCTAATTAAATATTCAACACAATAAGTTTTGCAGCAAAGTGGGATTACAGGTTGTTGCCATTACTGTGCATGTGATTACAAACAAGAATTGTATCTTGTTCAGGTAAACGATAGGAGGCACTTAAGCTGGTCCTCACTTACAACATAAACATAAACCTAAGCACAAGATTATCAAAGCTCTCCGTTATCTTATGGTTTCGTTCGTAGCGTGCACTGCTTCATGCAGTTTTATTGCAAGTGATGATCCCCATGCTTATGTTCATGTCGCAAGTGGGTACAAGGATTTATAACTTATATTGATACAGACCTGCCAACCTCAAGGAATACAAAACCTTGAGATTAATGCAGAAAAACCGGGAGATATGGCAAAAAGACTGGAGATTTCTATTCTTGTATACGACATATTTTTAGATTGATTTATTAGGCAAATGGCAATGATTATCTCAAGTGTTATGCACAAAAATTTTAACTGGCAGCCATTTTGTGTTACAAAATTATACGAAAAAACGAAAATCAATGTCATGCCCAGTTCGCGGCGCACCGCGGCTATAATACGTTATGTTTTGAATGCTATTCATCAAGTATTTCTTTCCATGCGATGAATAAAAATGCCAACAAACTTCTAAAAGCCTAAGCTTTAAAAACCGGGAGATTTAGTATCATTGTCGGGAGGTCGGGAAAATGCAGCAAAGCGGAGTCTCCCGGCGAAACCGGGAGAATTGGCAGGTCTGTTGATATATGTTCTTTCTCCTCACTCTGAACACGTTGCTGAATTAAATGAAAAGCACAAAGCGCAAGAATTTATCTATAATGTTGGGAACGTTATAGAAGCTAAGTTGATGGCCAACACACTCACAAGTTTTGATATATTTTATTAATCACTGTTTCACATACAGATATATGTGTACTCGACTAAAGTCTCGAAAATACTGCCATCCCTATCGATATAGTTTCTAAATAGCCCTTACTCACGTGATTGTACATTACTAATTATTAACTATATGATTACGTAATTCAATCGTCCCAGTTCCCTACAATAAAATACAAACATTATATCTACGTGAACTTACATTTACGTCAAAAACAGAAACACAATTGCAATCACTTGCAATGTACAAATATCTTACTTTCAAAGACTAAACATTGTTTGCAATCAACAGAGAATCGTTGGAAACTAAGTCTCACAATCTTTTTAGACGAAATAAGCACAAAAGGAGTTTTTGGTCAATTAAATATAACAAACGAAATCTCATTAATCTTTTACCCATCACGAAATTAAAACTCTCTTAGGGGCTGCTCACATGAGCCCGGGTAGCCGGGATTCAGCGAAGCGTTAAATATTTTTGGCAAATGGAAAAGATTAAATACTTCACAACTAAAACTTTTTTGAGAAATTTTTCTATGCTCTGACTTTGCAAATTTACAAAACATTTAAAAATAAAAGGAAATAATTTATTCTAATTTGAAAATTACAACTAAAATGACTTATGACAGTTACGAAAAGGGATGTAAGTTTTGCGCTTAATATTTTTACTCCTTTCAATGACTCAAATACATTTCACGCCTCGCTAAATCCCAGTTACCTGGGCTCATGTGAACAGCCCCTTAAAGGACATATGCAACATAAAATTCGGATTGTTATTTTTGTACTTTACATCAAGGTATAGCTCCAACTAATAGTTCACCAAAGTTTGAGACTCAAAGGATAAATATTTTTGAAGATATGGAGGTTTAAAGTTGATGCTTTACTGATAACGTATTGAAAATGCCCGACGAGCTAACGACGGCTACCGATTGGAAAAAGGTCGTTGTGACGTAATAGTTGACATTAGCTAAACGCGGTCAATTGCGCGCTTCGTTCAAAATATATTGGTAACTTCTTAACAACATGACAATTTAGCATTGAAAATTTGGTTTATTGTGCCGCATTTAATTGTAAAAACGGGTCTTCTAAGAACTAACAAACGCAGCAAAAGGTTTCTTTTTTTTCGTTTCCTGAAGACAAGCGCATGCGAGATATTTTGATTGAAAAAATCCGACGCAAAAATTGGAAGCCAACAATGAGCTCAAAATTGTGCTCGCAACATTTCGAGAGTTCGTGTTTCGTGCAAAATTTTGAAGCGATGCAATCAGTAGGATGGACAGCAGGACGGCTTCGCCTTAAGGATGCTGTACCCACGATTTTTGAATACTCTGTGGAACCCACAAGTGTAGCATCTAAAAGGAAGCAGCCAACAAATGTTAGAACTGCATTTGAGAAGAGACGAAGGCAAGAGGTGATTATTATAGTTATAGTTAGCAATATTTGTTTACTTTTATCAAAAACTAAGCTATATAGCATTACCAAATTGAAGACAGCTTTATAATTTTAGATTATTGACGACGTTCTTGAAGACGACGACCACGATGTGTCGACATCGGCTCGAAATGTTTGTGCGTTTTACCTCAAAGGAAGTTTGTCTAAGATAAAAGATGTCAAATATATGTAGACAGCGAAACACAAACATATACAGTGGTAACTAATTCAGACTAATGTCGTTTGATCTTTCTATGTTATTTGAACTCATAGAAAATTCCTTAACGTACCTTAGAAGCGCAATGTGAAATGCCAAGCAGCCATAACAATCCGCCCGCAAAAACACGTAAGGTCAAGAACCACTCAAACAAAAGTGGCAAATATGATAAGTAGAGGTAAAGACTTTCCATTTCGGCCGTTTTGATTTTTGTGAAAAATCCAGCAATACGATAATTTTCCTAAGCTACGGAGGTTGAGTTAATTCAAACCACAAATCACAGCACACAGACGACGTCATGTGAAATTGAACATTTTGAGTATAGCGCTGTATGGTCTGATACAGAAAGCACGTCGACGATGGCGAAGCTACAATGGATCAGACTCAATGTTCAAATGAGTTAAGCGAAAATGAAGAATCCGACAATGACATGCGACGCGGTACCAACTATTCAGTCACCCGACTATTCTTTACATTGCTTTTCTCTGTATATGTTTTCAGAACGTTACGTTTATCTCTTTGATTCTGATGGTAATTTTTATGTTATAGGAAGATGCTCAAAATGAGAGAAAATACATAGTGTTTGATAGTTGCCTGAGACAGTTTAAGGTGAGTCAATGCCCATGTTGTGGTGAAAGCTGTTCCATGCAAAACGACTGGTAGTATGGTTAACGTACTAGCAAATGTCAGGTTATGTTCTAGACTGGAATAGCCAACCTTGCATTGGGCATGCCTCGGGTTACTGGTCTTTGCTGCCAGCATCTGTTTAGTGGTAGTAGCCCCAGCAAAGTTCTTCAATTCCTTCGTCACTGGGCATACAATTCTGTCAGAGCGTACATATAGCTATATTCAAACAGCGTATTTGATAACCAGTGTTTCAAATGTTTGGCTTATGAACTAAAAAGCATCTTCTAGAATCAATCAGGAGAAAGGAACATAACCTTTGGAGGACATGAAGATGTGATTGCCGATATTGTGCAGTATGGGTCATATAGCTGCATGGATTGGAATCTACAAATATTGAATACACAACTTGTTCAGGTAACAATTCTTCAACAACTGTACATAAACATGATTAGAATACTCACATAATTATGTTAAACAGTCCAATGAAGTCAACTCTACAATGGAACATAACGCAAAAGATGTCTGGCGAAGTTTAATGAAAGTGGGATGAAGGTGAAGTCAATGACCACAGACAGACATGCTCAAATCAAATCCTACATGTCAAAACAAAGACCAAAAAATCGAACACTACTTTGATGTATGGCATGTAGCAAAAGGCATAGATTGTCATACAAACCAACCTTACACATTTTATCAATAATCAAACCCAACAGGAATCTAAGAAAATTTTGGCAGCATCAAAAAAAGTGGTTTGTAAATTATTGTCAGATTGGGTCCAATCAATTTCCAACCATGTATACTGGTGTGCTGCTTCCAGCAATGGTGATGAAGAACTTAGAAGGCAAAGTGGTTGTCAGTTCTCAACCATATATGTGACATCCATGAGGGACATATGATGTATTCCCAAAATGTGAACATGATATTTTAGAGCCTGAATGTGGATAAAAAAGGTATTGCGCGAATAAATTTCAAAGTAACATCAACATTCTTTTTGTTAACTAACTTCTGATCTTAGGTCAAAAGTTTATGTTGAGCTGTCTTCGATTGTTGAGTCCAAGTGTCTCATGAGAGATATTGGAAAACTCAGTTATCAGAAGCAGACTTCATTCATCGAGGTTTCCACCGAGTGGTGATTCTTGCACCAAAACATACCAATTTTTCACAGATCAATGGAAGCAAGGTAATATAATTATGACTTGTGTATGATTACCAAAAATGTCATCATTGCAAAAGCAATAAGTTGCAATAGTTGTGCATAAACCTTAACATTCATTTGTAGATTGTTTATTGCCGCTCTTCATTTCAAATGGAAACAGCTCAGAAATGAAGAATGGTGGGCAAAGAAAGAGGCATTGATTTGGAGAATGGCTTATTCAAAAGTCAAAGAAGCATTGGTCATCAAACCAGAAAGGATAGCACTTATGGTTAGCATAGAAAAATAAAACACCTTTTCTAAAGTGCAAATGCAAAGCCAACATAAATGATTTGCTTTTCAGGATATTGGGACTGATGAAAGAAGTTTTTACCTGACGCATTAATCAACACTGTCCAAAGCTCTTTGAATCGCTGGAGGAAAGAAATGCCTGTCCCATTGACTAGCCGATCAAAATCAGCAAAGCTGAAGCCATTAAGCAACATAAATCTGTTTTAATAAATAAAATGCAACTAACCATTCAACATTTCCTACCCTGTAATGTACTGTCTTCGCTTTCCTGATGACGAATTGTCATCATTATGACCACCTTGTGCGTTGCCAAAGGCTCAACATGTAAGGTTTACCTCATTGCAATTGATGACATTTATAATCGGCTTCTTCAGAAGAAATAATTTTGTTAAATAAAACAATAACTAGCAAACTACTTAATAGCAAACTACCGAAAAGTCGTGCAAGTCGTAGAACGATATAAGAACGATGCTTGTTTATAAATAACTAATACGTCACTTTCCCAGTTCCCAGACTTACCAACCATTTTTAGCAATGGTCATCGAATATCTTGTTTTTACCGATTATAACCCTAAATATCTTTTGAAATATTTTGCGGACGACTTTGAAACTTGGTACGTCTTATTTTCACGCTATAGGCATTACAATAAAATAAAGTCGTCTTCTAGCTTGCATGTGTCCTTTAAAGACAATCAAGTTTTGAGACTGATGATCAAGAAAATGTTTTGAAATGAATTTCAGATGTTATCATCTACACTTGCAATGTCTTACAATACATGTTAAGAGTGCCCCCGAACTACACTGGGTATATGTAAAACTAGTCATCTCTAAAATTAGCCGACAAACAGAAAATGCATACGTGGCTATATTTTATAGCTACCTTGCATTGCTAATGTCCGAAATCTTGTATCAAGAATTAGTTCTTTTTATATAGTTGACAAATTTTTGAAATAAAAAAATGTTGTCTGTTCCGACGTTTTATGACTGATGTTTAAAATCTTAGATCCGCCCCTGCTTTGCTTGAGCGTCAGGGCGTGCTATAGCCAAAAAGAAACAACAAATGGATAGCAATAAAGGCACCCGATTGCAGGATTAAAACCAAAATAAACTCGATATAACTGGTTTACAACTCTTCTGCTGAAGTTGCTTTAATAAACCGTTGTGTAATTTATTAACTTTTATTTTCAACTTTTATTTTTAACTTTTATTTTCAACTTTTATTTTTAACTTTTATTTTTAATTATCGTGTAAGGGGCCCATAAGGCCAGCAGGCCACAACAAGTTCTTGTTACCTCGTCCCTGGCCAGTACGCCTCTGTTGAGCGTACTTAATTGTATAGCCTAAGTATAGACAAAAATCGTTTTTAAACAAAAATCTTTGTTTGGAGTTCATACAAAATTATGATACAGTTACATTGGGCTTTATTCTTAGTTGTAATTTGATTGGATGAAACATAAAATTGACACAAATGTTCGAGCAAGTGAAGTAACAAATTTATATACATAACTACAAAGTTAAATTTTGAAGCCAAAATATCAGTAGTTGTAGTTTGAAATGGTTGTAATGCCATTAGAAACAGAGCGTGAACGAAGGCAATGATTGACAACTGTGGCAGCCATTTTGGGCATGAAAGCAACAAAATTCAGTTTGCTTTTTCACACCATTGAAAGAGGAAAGCGAAAAAGAAAAAAGCGAAGATTCTGGGTGAGACCAGGAAGGAGCTCCGAATGGTGGACTAATTTTATGAATGTCAAAAATGGCTTTTACCAAATTAGGCAAATTACTAAAGCTGTTTCTCGAGAAAAAAGTGAATAATATGCGTGTACTTCTATCGGTTGAAAAGCAACTTGTAATAACACTCTATTACTTGTCGGACGAGGGTAGATATCGTAAAGTGACAAATGCCTTTGGTGTATCGAGACCATCAATCTTAGGGCCTGTTTATATGGAGCCGAGTTACCCGGCTGAGCGAGTTACTCGGTGCCTCTTACAATGAATGCAATTACTTACAATGAATGCATTTCCGGGTGAATCGTTTATATGACACATCCGAGTAACTCGCCTTGCCGGGAACTCGGTTTGTGTAAGCGAGTTACCCGGCTAGGCGAGATGAATTTTCCATACAAACGGCGAGGCGAGAAAACGGGCTCTGTTGGTACGCATGCGTACTAAGCCTTGTACTTGCAGCATTATTATACAAAAACATACACATATCATAATTTTCAATTTTATATTCACCCATTCCACTGTTGCTGCAAAACTGCGAGGCTTTTTAAAATCTCGCGCCTTTACTCGAAGTTAGCATAGTCAAACTTCATTTAAGACAAATGAACGGAAGTACTAGCCGAGTTACCCGGTGCCATATAAACAGATCACTTTGTCAAACCCGGTTGAGCGAGTAACTCGCTCAGCCGGGTAACTCGGCTCCATGTAAACAGGCCCTCAGTAATCATGCGACGGGTATGCCTTGTTTTGACAAAAAGTCTTGGATCCAAGTAGATATCCAGAAAAATTCTCCTATTTCTGCAAATTGTTAAAAGGATCCAGTCCAACAACCTTCATTTTGACAACCACTTCAAATATATAATCGTAGGCCTCGCACCTATACGTGAAGAAAAACATATGCATTAGTTGACAAAATATAAAAAACAGAGAGAACTGACAATAGCGCAAGATATCCTTCTCAATGAAAGTTATATACTATAGCAGACTCAGCGTGCTGTAACTACAAATCACCTACTTCTAACAAACACATTATCTTAAGACTTCCACTTTTAACAAATTTTACGTACTAAGGAAAGATTGCTATCTGAAGCTTTCTCATAAACAATGAAGTAGAAACAAGACAAAATAAAGTTTGAGTATTTAAAAAAGAAACAAAGCCTTAATATGCCGACAGTGTTTACGTTAAGTTAAGATCATGGTTTATCTACATCGGCAGGGTATATAGACATGTTCGCCATAATGCAATCGACAAGTTAGGATAAAAAATGTCAAGACAAACAAGATAAACTAGGGTCTACCACGAACGTTAAAAGAAGTCAAAATATCACAGCTTTATCAATTATTGAAAGATAGTAAAATAAAAAACGTATAAGCATGCAGTATGTACATGGCTCTGCATACGATGATTGTTTTGCCCGAGCATCAAGAAATTTTATCAGTTTGTAGCGAGCTGTTATTAAGACTACTATGATATAAATGTTGTTGGCAATCTCTATGCTTGCAAGGGTGTTTTTTCAACCATAAGCGATGAAAAATGGTGCTATTCTTGCTTGTTTTGCTGTTTTTACTACCCACATATTTACATGTTTTAAAGCAATTTTAATAATTTGTCGATATCGATGACAAATATAATTTTTATTAAAGTCTCTTAGCACTTGAACTAAACAAGAAAATGGTCTTTCTATGATGAACAACACCCACGACTTACAATTTACTGAATAAGTATATAAAAGCAACCCAAACTTGTTAAATATGAGTGGTTTAAACCATCTAAAATCACGATAAAAACAAACATATATGTTCAGAAAATTGATCATGATAATATTTACTATAGTATTTGCGCATAATGTATACAAAAAATCTAAAAAAATAACAGTCAGCCACTGTAACTTAACATCCAGAATCGGTTTGCCCCTCAAAAAACGCGTACTATTTTTTGTACTGTAGAATATATTATGATGCTGCCTCTAGTATTATTTATTATTATATGGCAAGCGTCATTTCCGGTAAAATGGCGAGCTTTGATTGGCTGAGAAACATTTTTGCCGGTCGATTATTTTCCCGAAATCGACCACGGTCGAAAAACGAGTAATTTTACAGGCAAATGTAAACAAACTTCGTAATGCAAACAGCAAAACGCAAAATAAACGAAACAAAAAAACCATTTACAAATGTCATTCGAAGGAAAAACACTTGGAAAACAGTTTAACTATCCAGACGATACAATTTGAAACGATTTATTTTTTATGGACGAAAACTAGAAAAGTTAAAGCCAACCCGTACAAAACAGCAAGGAGGAGAAAGATATCAAGTTTGGTTTCAGGTCAAATAATGCTATATACTAATCCTTTTAATAACCTCACTTTCTCGGTCTTTACGGTGAAATATCAGACCTCTGTCTTTTTGTACAAACTTCGCCCAACGGGCTCGGTCTGTACAAAAAGACCTCGGTCCGTTATTTCTCCGTAAAGACCTCGCGCTCGGTTACTAAGGGCTTATAATCTCTATGATTATAAAAATATCCCCGTACTAAATTTTTAAAACCGAGTATAACTTCAGCATATGACAACCAGGCGAAACTAATTTCACTATGTTCTTGGCACATGCAATGAAAAATTTTGTAAAGCAGAATGTTAAAAATACGGGATGAATATAATTTTGCCCGTGAATTTGTCTCTAAGGTGATAAGACATGTAAATATACGCCAAAATCTGCTGCAGTAATTTATTTTGAGATACTCTAAATCCGTCACTGAATGGAAATTCAGAGAGGTATAAAAAACAAGTATAGTTGGAAGAGATTGCATAAGTTTCTCGTACATTATTTTTGCTTTTCTCCAGTTCTTTGCCCAAAGATATATTCCGTGATTTCTGACCAGCACTGCCGATGTTTCAGGGTACAATTCCATGGCTCTAACTATCGAGTCCTAAATAAAATGGTCAGAAAAAAGGTTGTAATTAACAGGGGCGTGGCCAGCCCGCAAATTTGGTCCTGCTATGTGAATTTTTCTGTGTTCACTAATCACAAAAACAACAGATTTCTAAAGAAATGAACAATGTTAATGATCTAAAAACTACCTAGCAGGACTAATACTTGCGGGCTCACTATGCCGCTGGTAATTATACTAAGGAAACTTGAACAAATATCGCACACAATTAAGCAGTACAACTATGAAACAATGTTTTCAATTACATAGCAAAGAGAACTCGTTAACACTCTACAATTACTTAAAATATCTAGAAAAATAAGATAAGCTTCCTGACAAGACTTATTTTGTAGGAGTTGGATGGGTTTTTTTTATATCTTATTGGAAAATATTGATTTAGCCTTCATATACATGAAACTTGATTTACTTTCAACGAGATATCGATACGTTGCGTTTAAGCCATTGGTCTATTTAACACAACTCATCTAGTATACTAAAAACAAAAACAACACTTACTTATTTTCCGCTAGGCTTTTACTAACCCGAATACTTAATAATTTGCATAACTACCCGACTACACAAAAAATTCTTCGAATACAACATTTGCTTGACATTGATAATTTTAACGAATCACGCATTTAAAAAAATACAATGGATGGGCAAAAGTCCCATCCGCCTTCTTAGAAAGTTATCGTTAATACGTTTGTACCTTCTCAAATTTAGAGAAATGCGTAGGAATAAAAAAATGCTGTTAGAGAAACAAACGAAAAATTTTTTTCACCTACAATCTTTAATCATAAGCAACTAAAAAAAAGATCATTATATATACTTTTTCATGTTTTTCCCACCTTTTTTGCCATTTAGTTTTTAATGCTCATAATTTTTTCGTAAGGTTGAAATCTAAATAATTGAACTGGCCATTGTAACAAATTAAACTTTCAATCCGTGAGATGTTTTAAAACAACATTAGATGTGTGTTTGCAGACCTTGCCTTATTAGAACTTATAACACATAAAATCAAATTAAACAAATTTTAAAGTCAAAAGATCGTGCGCAAACAGCAATGGCGTTAAACGAGCGATAATTAATGGGGATTATATTCTTACACTCTATTATGTCCAGATAATTGCTTTCGAAAGTGACGTTGTTTTCACAAGAAATTAGCCAGGAATGGAAACATGAATATGATCCCTCCAGATAAACGTACGATTGCATGACGCTAATGGCAAACAACGCTAAATTTTAACAGTTTTATCGCCTTCATGTAGTGTAAATCAAGTAATTTTTTAAGGGGAGCTTCATTTTTTCCACCATTGTATATTATGAATTTCTTAACTCTTTGCTGCATGATGCTAATTTATTAAGCAGATAGTAAAAGAATGAGAGTACAGTTCTGAGTTTCAATAATAAAAAGTATATATGCAGAGATTAACACGTTCGACAGATAGACGGATGAAAAAAAAATTGTACATGTTAAAATAACCAGCAAAAAAGTATGCTATGTACGCATTGAAACGACAAATAAGAAGTTGTTTAACACAAAACAAAAAAAGACAAGCTATAAGCCATGCCTTTATTTCGATTTCTTCATTTTCATTCTCAACGATTGGTATGACAAGCTCTTCATCGTAACTATATACGAGAAGAACAAATTAAGTAAAAATAAAAACAAAATAAGCTACTTTTAAGGTTCTATTTTGGGGTCATACTACTTTAAGTTGTTTTTCACCATCATTACTAATCAGCTATTGTTTGATAAAGATTCCCGGATTGTTAGAATGTCAAAAGTTAAGTTACGAAACACAAATATACGAGTATTGAAATATTTTTTCAGAAAAATTCTTAAAAGATTTGTTTTTGTTGTTCATTATATACGTAAATTATCGGCACCCACAGTGCAAATAAGGTAGACGCAACTTTTCTATTCATCACAAGAAAAATATATAGAGCAATTTGTACACAAAGATCTTTAGCACAGTAAAAAAGTGGCTCAAAAGCATGAATAGCTGACAATCAAATCAACATGAATCTGCCAAATTGTAGAATCATACCGGTAATTTCTTCCAGTTCTACAGTTTACAATCGCCTTGATCATTTGTTGGTGAGAAATTCTAAATTCATTTCCATGACACAACGCAGTAACCATAACTGCATTTAATGTATGAATGTGAAAAACAGCGCCAGCAGCTGAAAGAATAACATCTCTCATTTGGTCAAACTGTCAATTAAAGCAATAAAAAGTGTTTTGCTTCAAAAATTTTTTTAACGGACAATACAAATGAAAAATATAATTCAGGCAATATTGTTGGAGGTATTCATGCTGTGTCATTCTCTTGAATAATGACAAATAAAATCCTTCGATACGTTCCATCACACCTCAAAATATTTTATTTCTCATCCTTATTCAAAAGTGGCTAGCGGTGGAGGCCAATATTATACAGTCTTGAGACATTATATAAGGCATGAATAAAGATTTAATGTAAATTCAGAAAAAGTTTTTTAATGTGCAAAACGTTTGCCAACAAGTAAACTTGTTCATCAAATAGTCAAACAATGACGACTTTTTTGATAAATAATTGTTTTGGGATGAGAGTTATTTTCACAAAACTAAAAAACCTGGAAACAAGATTTAAAAAAGTGAATATTATATTACTTATATACACTTGCAAATTTTTGTGCTTATGCGAGATGCCTCAAAGTTTCAAGTTAAGTGATTGTCACACAAAATTCCTCAAGAAAAAACAAAAGATTGTCTTTGATCATTATGTTTCACGAATCTACGAAAGAGCTCTTTTTGGCAAATGACGGTGGTTATAAAGATCAAAGGATAATATTGGCTTATTTTAAAAAAATGCGACAATTGAGTTATTTTTTATTGAAATTTCATAAAACTGACAAAAACAACCAATTCGGGGCAACTAAAAATTTAATTGTAACATTAGTTCGTGTTTATGTATTATAACGATGCGCAAAAAGAACCGTAAGTTTTCTTTTCCTTATCTGATAAAAAACATGAATTCGAAATGTTCTTTAGCATTGTTTCTGTTACTTTGAAACTCAATGATGGTGTTTGTGAATACACTTGAGAGAATTAGTCGACTTATGTAAATATACTCAATCTTATTAAAATATTTCCTCAGTTCTTGAAGCGAACACGAGAGAAATATTTTTTCGAAATTTTTGGAACAGGTTATTAGTAATGGAACAGGCTATCTCACAATATCAGTTATACAGTTGCAAACTTTTATTGTCCTCAAGTAATACATACCTCTTTTCCGGTAAGCATTCAAGAACATTGGGGTGCAAGAGCTTTCAGTCAGATTAAATCTAACGTAAAAACGTTATTAGCTATCAAACTTTATTTAAGAAGTAAAAAATGTTTTTCGTGTAGGAACAGGCTTATGAAAAAAGAGGAGATATTTGGAACAACTGAAAGCTGATCCGTGGTAACCTGACACGAATGGTTGAGGCAAACGGCTCAGAAATGTGAATAAGCCTTTACAAACACTAAAAGTATCTTTTACTTTTCTTTAAATGACGGATAAAATCGAAACAGGTGTAACAAATTTTTCAACCAGATTTTTTACAGCTTGTTGACAATTGTCGGACTCGGAGAAGTCCCAAACTAGAATCGCGCCATTGAATTATAAAAGTTAAAAAATATTACAGACATTTAAAGGGGACAAACGATCAAATTATAGGCGTTTACATGGCAATTTATTATGAAAATCATGAAAACATAATTTGTTAAAGTCACTCTATATTAAAAAACTTTTAATGGTTGTGAATTAAAGTTTCAAACATTGCATGAAACTTTTGAATGGAACAATACTAAAACGTACTAAAACACCAAAAATTAACGACAGGCTCGAGACATTGCCTCCTACAGTATGTGTAAAACAGGCGACTTCAACAATCAAGCTTATTCAGGTGACTCAACGGGATTCAAACCCATGACCTCTGCGATGCTGGTGCAGTGCTCTAACCAACTGAGCTATGAAGTCACACAGTGGAGAGTAGGGCAATTTGGGTTCGAATCCCGTTGAGTCACCTGAATTTTTCAGGTTCATGAGACAATTGCTTAAACTGTGCGAAGATCATATCTTCATTTAATCAAGCTTATGTAGTTTAATTCAGCACTCGTCTTAGCTCATGGATAAATGAACGACAGTCCTCGTTTATAAGAACAAGCAATATGCCAGCTTCGCCAAAAAGAATATGTTTGCATAGTTAAATACACCCTGTTTTATTTTAATATGCTGACTACACTAATATTCTAATAACCAAGCATTGTGCAAACATAATGAAATTACTGACAGATAAAACACTCAGACATTCAAACTAAAAACTAAATATGTGATGACATTTAACAAAAATTTGAAAAAAAAATAGGTGGCACAAAACTTTCCAAGTAAACATGACAAGAGAGCTTACTATTATTAACTAACCTTGCTGAAGGTCCACTTATTTTGTCTCCATCAATGTTGCAAAGAAAAAGCAATTCAGGCTGAAAAGAAATTGTACAAATTAAGGATATAATGAAGATAAGTATGAAGGAAAACTTTGAACAGATTGGGGTTAAAAATGACTTTAGTTACTACTAATATCTCTTTTTCTGGCTTAGATTAAGGGCATGAGCCCGGTAACCGGGATTCAGCGAGGCATGAAATGATTTTGAACCATTGAAAGGAGTAAAAACTTTAAGCGCAAAACTTACGGCTGTCTGTGGCATGACGTATGACTTTAAAGAAGCGAAACAAGCGATCGTCAATAATGTACGTCTTATATGAACTTTATATACGCAAAGTTAAGGTGTAACACGAAGATGACGAAAATTTTTATGTATTACGACTATCTTTGGTTTGTTTTTACTTAAAGTCAATTAATGTTCTCTTTACATTTGCCTTTTGGTAAGGGGAAAGTCTTTCCAATTCTGATATCTTTCCGATGTCAAAACTCATGTCATTTCTTACTCTTTCTTCAGATGCTGATTGCTCTTTGTAGGCGAGGGAGACATCCGAATTGGAAGCAGCGAATACATATGACTGTTGATTGAAAATAGATACGTAATTTTTCTAAAAGACGTTTTTCAGAGTGTTTTGCTTTCCTGCAAATGTGTGACTTGCTCTTGCGCTTTAAAATTAAACACGCACTTTACTCGATAATAGTTGCAGGTGAAACAAGTACCCCTCGTGATTCTTTCGCCACAGGTTGATTGGACTGGTGTTGTGTATATAAAGACATGTTTATTTCCTTAAAAAATTACTGAAGTTAACACTTCGTCAAAAGCAACTGCTATATGTTTTAATATAACAAACTTTAATGAAAGCAAATATGTCAGATCATATATTTCAGAAATTAAGTACAGACTGTTAGGTTTTATCGACTGCAAACCCACCGGAAACTATAGGAATGAATGACTGACATAATATCGTTACTTGTCTAAATATTCTCCGGATAAATTAACTGTTTAAATAACGGAGAAAATCGACATTTGCAGTAATAAAGATGTGTTGTTGTTTCTATATTCTTTGAAGAAGTTTATACTTGTGCATGATCATTGACATTATTTGTCAAAAGAATAAATTCGGCAAAAGAATAATAGCTAAGTTGTCTTTCGAACTAATGATCTGAGTCGATCCAAGTTGATATTAAATTTAAAGTTTCACATTTTAACTGCGTTTAATTACTTTCTTCATATTCCTTGTCGTCCATGCAGTCGTAAAACGCGCAAAAATGTTTGTGCCAAAGCAGCCAAACGGTTAGAAATAATAATGTATCATGGTCAAGAATGAGAAAAGCATTTTCGCCTAACTGAAACAGTGAGAAAAATTAGCAACATTTACGCACCTTTCGACATCTTATCTATTCCCAAAATCACCTCCATTTACGAATGAATTAGGAATAAGACTGAACGAGACTCCATTGACTCATATTTCGCAGTCGCATGCAATCCATTGAACTAAAATACATTTGCAACGATTTCTTATAGTTATGTCCCAAGATTCGCTGAAGCCAACATACATCTAAAACTAGTCAAACTCTCCATTGAAATATTACGTATTTTTTTGGCGACTGGTGTTTGGTTGTTTAGGCTTCTTGGCAGTAGAAAAACGTAAATAAATAATTTAGTGTCGTTTTTTGTTTCTTGTTCTATGTTAGGCTACTGCAAAAAAGTAGAAGTACATGTATGTCTGATCTGAACTGGATGTAGCATAAACAATGTAATTTTCCAAAATAACTTCTTTGCGTGCTTCTTTGGTATGATTCACTCCCATGTTTATCCACTGATGAAAATATTTGAAAACAAACAGATCAAGATATCAAAAAAATGCAGCTTTGCAAGCAATCGCACACATCAACATTTTTAGTTTAGCATTGTGGTTAACCGCGCAAGCTCAACAGTTCTCCGCAAAAACAAAAAAAAAGCAATGTCAAAAAGAACAAAAGAACCAAAAAACCATAAAAGATAAAAAAATATACAAAATCAAACACAACGAATCAAAAACTCGAAAAGGCAGTGGAATTAAAATAAACAACGAACAATTCACACTCCCACGAAGGACGGTTTAAACTAAATGTAGAGTTTTCGAAACGAAAAAAAACATTAGGCCGCTACTATTATAATGGATTTACCGTGACTTGTTCTTTTAGAATGCCCGAAGGAGATACAAATATTTCGTTACTAAAAAGACAATAAAACATGTTTTAACATACACATATCATCTAAAGGCAGCAACTTTAGGGCAAAAAGTATATTATACAAAGTTAACGACCCAACAAAGAATACAACGTTTAAGTTCAAAAGATAATAATTTTAATAGCGCGTTCAGACTGAGTGCCGGGGTACGATACCCAGGTTTGAGCACAAATTTGCAGGCCGTTCACACTACGTAGTACCAAATAGTTTATTTATAATTTCATGTTTTTCTTTGTAAACAAGTTTTGAAACCATGTGATGAATACGCGCCTCTCTTTACATGTTACTCAGGTGTCGTCGTTCACATTGGTGCCCGTGCTGGAGTACCGTACTTGGTTGCTACCTCTTTTCGTGGTGCCCAGACCTCGCACTTAGATTCGGGCACCATTAAAATTTTGTGTTCACATTAGTGCACGTGCGTCAGTACCGTGCTGGGGCACTCAGTCTGAACGCGTTATAATATATCTTTATATACATGCATTGCCTCGGCAAAGACTGTTTCAAAATTGTGTGAATTTGAGTCGGTTTATTAGTGATTGTAAAAACAGCATGCTTAAACAGATGCGAGAAAATACAAGAAGTCTTTGCTAGTGTAAATGCATTTTGCAAACGCATGAAGCGTATGAAACCAAGCATTTTAGGCGTACGAGAGCAAAAAAAATGCGGGTTAGAACACTTTTTTGCCACACGATAAAGGAAGCTACTCTAAATGAAATTCCTTATCGTAAATAACACACTACGTATCAGCTTTAGATAATCTCAGAAGCACGTGATTCAGTTTATTTATTGTTATGGATAACGTGTTCCTTGCAGAAATAAAAAAATGGGAAACCGTATTCGGATCAGCAATCCCAACGAGTTATATTTTTGATGAAGTATGAATCGCTTTGGTAATTGAACATCAATTTTATTTTGTACAGCACATAAAACCAATCATAACAATCAACAATACCCAACAATACTTACATTAAATGTTTGTGGATGTAGATTGTCCAGGTTAGTAGAGTCCTGAGAAGGACTGTTGTTGTTGATGAGGAGTAAACGTCATGTTAGCCGTATTTATTAATTTTACTCTGAAGATGACTACCGCTAAGGTTGTCAAAACGTCAGTCAACAATAACAAAAACAGTCCTTCTCTGGACTTTACTAACCTTAACGATCTACTTATACAAACATGTAACGCTACTCCCGGGCTCAAACCATTTACTTTACTAAATTGAAGTGAGAAATTTGTTATAAACATGCTTTGATGGCCACGTAACTACATTGACGTGCGGAACTTCACTTCAAGTAAATGGTTTAAACCAGGTAGTATCGTTACATGTTTGTAAATGTAGATCGTCCAGGTTGGTATAGTCCTAAGAAGGACTGTTTTTGTTGTTGTTGACTGACGTTTCGAAAACCTTAGCGGTAGTCATCTTTAGAGACTACATTGTGTGTACATTTGCTGTACACACAATACAATGACATAAGAACCAGATAAAAAATACGGCTAACCTGAAGTTTAGATGACTACCGCTAAGGCTGTCGAAACGTCAGTCAACAACAACAAAAACAGTCCTTCTCAGGACTATACCAACCTGGAAGATCTACATTTACAAACATGAACTTCACTTCCTCAACAACATTCTTACATCATTCCACTAGACAAACTGATGTTATATAAAAATCAACATGAAAAGCGAGGGAGTGTACGGTAGGATGTTGCGGTATATCGAAATATAGATACACTGTACAGGGAACTGTTCTAAAGCTTTTTCTGAACCCATCTTACACTTCTCAATGTAGTCAGTAAAAAGTTAACAATTGGACAGTTAAAATTTGCGTTCGACTTTTGTGTACGATGCTTGGTCATTTTTTTGAGATCATGGCCACCTCCATGGTCAATGAGCATGAGCAGGCAGGGCAAAATTTCAAAAACCAATAACAATTTCTTCCCTGACTTTATAATAAAGGTTACAATGTGTTTACCCTGATTTGATACTTATTGCTCCTCCTGACCCACTCATCCATCCTTTGCGATGAAACTCGACACATATTCGTGGAATTATGACACGTGGATCATCGGTAGATTGCAACTGCAGGAAATAAATAATAACGTCAAAGTTTAAATGAAGATATGATCTTCGCACTTTGCTGGACAATTTAAGCAATTGTCTCATGAACTTGAAAAATTCAGGTGACTCAACGCGATTCGTACCCATGACCTCTGCGATGCCGGTGCAGTGCTCTAACCAACTGAGCTATGAAGCATTTAATTTCAAACACCGCACTGCATATAACATTCTTTCATATGAAGTTAAAGTTTCTTAGTTTATTCGAAGATGCCTAGTGATATTTTTATTGGCAGCCGAAGCAGATTTATAGCAATAAATTTGTTTAGAAAGTGCTATTTAAATTTTTAAAAAATGATTTAAAAGCCATGTAAATAAATCACGTAAAAAGCAATATGTTTTCAGATGATAGCATGGCACGAGTAAGTTTTTCAATCCTAACAAAGTGAACTTAGTAGGGAAGAATCCAATTTTAGTGCCAAGTCTCAAAAAGGCATATTTTGCAAGCCACATCGACCATTTTAGCAGCAACGTGATTTACTTTCAATAATCCAATTCTAGGAGATCTTTTAAGGAACATGAGTGAATGGTATTTTTAATAATAATTTTTATACATTTAATGTCCTCTTGGAAAGCTTTCTACTTAATTCACTTTTTAAGTATTCAATTTGTAAATGAATAAACACGTAAAAAAAGACATTGGCTTCATTGACAGCAAAACGAATAACAGTGAGTGTGAAAATTGTTTAAATGATTGTTGTAGTGAGTTAAGTATGTTATGAAGAATGTGATGATAAGTGATGAATAGATGATGTGGTGAATTTATGTCATTAATTGTAACCATTTTCTCAGAGGAGTAAGTTTGAACCAGGCTGCCCATGGTCCTTCAAGGATGGGGTGCCTCCTTCAAAAAATATCCGACTACAGAAACATTTTTTTAATACTAGTTATATTAACACTAGTTTTTAATTGATACAGGGAAAAATACCAAACAGAGCTTCCAATTTCCTACCAGAAACACGGATTCACTAGGCAGTTGTACATATAACTATAAGCTTACTTTATTATCTTTATTTCCATCAATAACATCGTTCAGAGTGCCCCATTCGCAAGCTGATTGCGTGGGTGCCCGTGGATCTGCCTACCCAGAGCTCATAACAGTTACGCCGCTGCATTTTCTTATAACAACTAATTAAGATCACGTTTGTTTGTTAATAATCACTTACATTGACGATAACTTCGAAATAAAGTTGCAACATTGCTTTTAAATCTTGTCTCTAGCTATTTATATCTAAAATCTTGAGTTTAAAATATGATGTTTTTTGGAGAGTGGTTTATCATTCAAAATTGACATACATCTGAAAAAGACCGCACAAGATCGATAATTAGGGAAGTGGGGGCAATATTCATATATATGCATGTTCTACTTTAGTAGTGGAATCAATTGTGGTAATGGATTAACACAGATTAAACCTGTCTTTTATTCGTGTATTAAAAAAATACTTCACATTTTAATTTTTATTCCTGTAAAAGTTTATGTGTACATACATGAAGACTTTTAGAAATCATTCAAATTTATTTGGATCTATTCACCGAACACTAAAGCACAAACAGAAATCTTGAGAAATTCAATCAAATTGGAATCACACACTCTTACTAATACAATCAACATTTTCATGCTTTTGTAAGTTTTAGTAATAATAAACAATTGCTACTGGAGCTATAAATAATTTTAGGTAAAATTTTAAGCCAATTATCCTTTCTACACATCAAACAGATAATAAAGTAAATGATGGTCATGGTTAACGGCAGAAGTGCTAGGTCAAATTTTCATATTCGGGATCCATTTTCTTAAAACTATGTTCGCATTTCAGTTAATGATGGTGTGTAAATCATTGGAAATAAAGTGGCTTTACATCTAATAGATCCACCAAAATACATAAATCCTTTAAATACAACAGAAAATATTTCCATGCAATTCAAAGGTCTGTTTATAGCCACTTCATATTCTAAGGCTAAATGTATATCATATAAGTAAATACGTACATGTAAGGTTGCTTTCTAAAATGCATTGCCATGTACGTAAAGACTAGGAATACATGTTGAGAAGACTAAAAATATTGCTGCCACTTTTTTAAAATCTAGCCATTTGATTGGCCATTACGTCACGAATGATATAGCTAGATCCACTCTTGTGTGAATAAATAAAAAATGTGAAGAAAGCAGATACAAAGTGAAATCTAAATTAAACCAAATTTTTCAAACTTAAATGAATTACTCACACATGTCAACAATACAATGATTTGTAATAGGCAGCACTTGCTGTACTAATGCAAGCATGAAATAATGCCTAGTTAGTAGATGACTAGTTAACTGATGACATATTTCATAATCGATTACAGATCCATGTATAAAATATTAGTAATAAAGTAAAACATACATATAGCCCCCCGGAGCCAAACATCAACCTTCCTTGGTCTCGGACAATTTAAAATTCCAACTTCATCGGTACAACTTTATTCCTTAGGAACTGATAACCAATACTTTTGTCAATGTTCTGTTTATGTTTTGACAAATGAGGTTGTTTTTCAAAGCAAACATGTTTCAATATAATCCAGACATATCTAGTGCAAACTATGCATGTAATAAGTTCTGTAGTAAGATACAATACAAGGAAAATTATGACAAATTATTAATACTAAGTGGTTGATCAGTTATACATATAAATAGTTAGATAATTTTAATGAATCATACTAATAATCCTTGTTGAAAATTTACAGATATCATTATGTGTTCCTATGTTTTATTAATATATTGTACCATATTATACTCAACAAAACACAGCTTGCCCTTACGATGGCATTTTGATGATGCCAAAACATGTTTGCTCTCAAGTAAAATGTTTCTTTCGTTATAGTTCTTGCTACCGAGAAAACACAACAGTGGACAGTTTGATCCTGAATGTAGCTAGAATTAACAAATCTGCAACAGATCGACAACATCAATTAATGTTTATGTAGGGCAAGTAGAAACACAATTTAATGCCTAATTATCAATCTGACATTGACTAATTAAACCATAAGCGGCCCAAAAAATCACTTAGCTAGCTAAATTGTATGAACAAACTATAACTCTCCCCATTATCGTTTGTTTATACAATTTAGCCAGCTTACTAATTTTTTGGGCCGCTAACAGCATTATTAATGACGTGTTGTGATGGAAATATAATTTGCTGATAGTAAACGAAATGACTTGCGAGTTTGAGGAAATTCGGTGGATAAATTGTGTTTCTACAACACAAGCTGGCGCAATGACAAGGAATTGATGGAAACATACTTAGTTGATATCTAGCGGCTAAATTTGTTGATATTTAGCCTGATGGCTTGTGAAAATAGAGAGATTCAGTGGATAACTCGCGAAAATCAGAGTGATTTCGACAACAAAAGCAAGGGTATTAATTGACAAACGAGTAATGGTAGCTTGGGATGGATGACTGGATACGTCTTTGAAATTAAACAGTTTGAGTCTTAACTTACCATAGCATTTGAAATCACACATTCATTAGAATCTGAGAGCGTTCGGGAGCATTTTCGACGCATTATACAATATACTGCCATCCCACTGAGGGCACTCGCACAAACAAAATTCAGCCAAAGCGGCGAATTGTTCACTATATAATCATAGCAATTTCGAAGGAGCATTTTACCCCAGAAAATTTACCAATTACCAAACCAAACACAAAATAAAAATCTTGACAAAACATAAACTGATCTTCAAAGGTACTGGATAGAGAATTTAATTGCAAAATTGTCGGAAGTAAATTTGCTCTGCTGGAAAGTCACATAAATGTAACTTAACATTGCTTGCAAAAAATGTTTCAACATATAACTTGTCGTTTGGCATACGTTCTGCGAAAGGTTCTGCGAGTTCAACCATCTGGAGTTACTCAGGAATTACTGGCAGCGAAATCAAGACTTGCCAAAAGAGGACTGACTATCCCGAGATAAGAACTTGTTGCAAGTCATTTGGCCGCAAATTTGGTCTCGAATGCTAACAATGCGCTGAGACACATTCCACACAAAAAACACTGCTGGTCAGATAGTACTGTAGCTTTATGGTGGATTAAAGGAGAGGGTGATTATAAACAATTCGTGTCGTATCGAGTGGCAACAATCCGAGCTTCAAATGAGATCGTGTGGAATCATGTGCCAACAACGAACAATCTGGCCGACCTCGAAAGGAGGAATGGCAAACTGACCGAGATGTGAATGAAAAGTCCTGCCTGTCTATCAGAGCGTAGTCTTTCGCCACCAGATCTTACTGTCAAACCGTCGATTGACTCCCAAAGTGAAGTAAAGGCGATGAAAGTAGTTTTGAGCACGGCTATCGAGCAGTCAGACTTTGCAATGCGTGAGTGAAGCGATTTATTGATAATGCTCGACAGAACAGAGATAATAGAAAGCACGGGCCACTAACATCTGAAGAAGTGGAAGAGCAACACATGTTATGGATAAAAATGGTACAAGCCGGAGTCGCAGAAAACTCGAAGTCTCAAACGGATCTGATTGAGTTAAATGTACTACACGATGATGACAAGATTTTAAGATGTCACGGTCGGATACATGGAGAGTTCCCTATTTACTTGCCTGATAACGCTCTGTTCACCGTGAAGTTAGTGGAAGATGCACACTTGGAAACACTCCATGGGGGAGTTATACTTACGATGGCCATGGTCCGAGAAAGATATTGGGTTCCTCGGCTTCGTCTACTAGTCAAAAAGCAAAGGAAGAGATGCTACAGATGCAAAGGATTCACGACCAAACCGTATCAAGCTCCAATACCTGCTCCTTTACCAAAGACTCGAACAGAAGGAACCACGCAGTATAAAGTCATTGGTGTTGATTTCGCCGGTGCGATTAAGTATAAAGTCAAGAAAAATCAAGAAGGAAAAGCTTATCTAGTGCTCTTTTCCTGTAGTCGTCTGTGAGTGGCACTCGGTCTGTGAGTGGCACTTGCCTAAAAGCAAATCAAACTTTGTTAGGTACTTTGCATTTCCAAAGCGATCGTACAATCTTCCATTCTTGGTATAGGGAATGAATCTGATGTTTCAACGTTATTAACTTAACGATAATCCATACACATGGATATGTCCCATCTGGTTTGGCACCAGAATACAAGGAGAACTCCAATTGCTTTTACTGGGTTCAATAAAGTCGTTCGACAGAAGATAGTATATTTCATTTTTTAGATATCGCTGTTTCTGTGGATCCATCGGATAGGGATGTTGCTTGATCAGTCTAACGTTTTCTTAATGTTCCACATCATAAAAGATCATTGTTGTTCTGGAGGGAACACCTGGAAACAGATTTCTGTGATCATAGATAATTTGTGTCAGATCGCCTTGCTGCGACTCTTCCTGGTGATTTAGGCACACCTTATAGTAAGTACACTCCGCCCAAATTCCAGACAAATTTGGGAAGAAATACTAACTACATCAGCAACATACTGACTTAATCTGAAAACTAACAACACAGAATCTAACTCCAAACTTTTTGTATCTCACCAAAGCAAAACATGTATTATTGGTTTTGTAAATACAATTAGCTCAACATGCAATAGACATGACAAAAGAAATCATGAAACAGAGACTTTGTCATGGTGACAAACCTAAAGATGGATTTCTATCACCATGGTATTTGCTATTTTGACAAAAGAAATGTTTTCTGGATACGATGTATTTAAATACTTAATCAAGTAAAAGATTTTACATAAACACAACAGACTTCATTGCCAACATTCTATTTTACATTAGTAGCTGTATTAGCTCAAAGCTACTAAAGAAAATATGATGTTCTTCTTGCAAAAGCTGCTTTGTATCCCAGTTTAATGGAACAAGACCAGAAAATAATTACTGTGCTATAAATTACTGCAAAATCTCCCAGGCTGCATCTTCACACTCTTTGCAATTAAGGGTGACTTAAGAATTCCTTCGTAGTCTTTTTATAACGTCGTTTAGTATTCGGAGAAAATATTTAAGCTGAAAGTTTTGTATACAACTGTTAAAACTACTAGAGAAGTACAACTTAAAAACAAATTCATTTTGCTTGTAAGTAATCATTTCGCTATGGAAGGTACCAAAAATGTTTTTGATGATCACGAAGATGGACTTAAAACAGCATTTTAGAGCAGGATCACAGATTGTCCTTAATCAAGCTCACAGCAGAATGATAATTTACGTTAAGACTGTTGACTTACAGCAAACGCTTTGATTAAGGTGAAGTCACAGTCAGACAACTTCTCACAAAGATTATTTTGTTTAAAAACCAATGATTTTTTATAAAATTAACGAAGTTCGATAAAGTTGAACAATAACATTTAAATAAAACATACCTGCTTAGATTATAAAGTGTTGTTGAATCATGTTATTAATATCTTGAGATTCATCTTGATTATGAATTTGTGATGCCTTAAAAATGGAAAACATCCAGAAACTTATGCATTAAAGTTGTATCGTCACTTTGATTTTCTCACAGAGGAGAAATTACACACGATTATGCTCAAAAAGAGCTATATTTTTCAAAAAAATCATCCAGCAAATCATTCCGAGCCTAAAATGCTTTGCAAGATCAAGCGTGACTCTCGCAAAGCGCTGAATTAGCTTCAAATAGGCTTCACCCAATCATTAGGTTTTTATACAGAGTTATCCTTCCAGTCTACTTACAGTTCACTGCTTTAACCCAATTGATCACCAAAATCCGCCACGTTTTTCACCACAGGTCGGCCGATAATAATAAATAGTAACTTTGTTTACGTGTTCCCTTCAGGTCTTATAGAACTCAATGATTTATGGTATAAGGCGTCATTATATTTATTATTCAGCTCCGTCCCCAGAGCTGGAGAAATAATCAAAGACTTGACCCAACATGGAGTTTGTTCTTAGATCAAAATTTTCAAATTTTATCGAAGCCTCTAGGACTGTGATTCTGGTTTTGCAAAATATGGAAATGACCACTTCTTTCCAAGATTGCAACATGCTGAAAATTCCGAAGAAAATGAGATGATATATTACACAAGCGAAAGAATTCTATGAAAGCCCGATGAATAGCCCATTTTAGAGTTGCTTTCCTTCATGGTAAGATGTTGTGTTGTGTGTACTCTCGATCATGCTATAATTTGTTTTCAGTATATTGTAAGTAGTTTGTTTTCCATCATTTGCTTTTAGAATTAATTGATATCATTTACGAAGATAAAATGTCGTAAGAATAATCATACAACTCTTCACTCTTTGCTTACATGCTTCTGCTATTTGGAAATGAAAACACTTAAAGAAATGCATGTTTTTATAGGTATGTTTATTTTGCAAGTGTGGATCATAAATAAAATGAAATTCACAAGATAAATATAGGTTGTAATCACCTTAGTAGAAACCATTGAAGGTGGATTAATTAGCCTGTTGGAGTGACTTTCTTGCTCACAACAAAAAATAGTCAATACTAGAATACGACTAAAGATAAGAAGCTTAGATGATGACAATAGTGATAAAAGAAGCATTTAAAAAGTTACATAATGCTACTGAATGATGGTTCTTATAGTAATGCTTACTTTGAATTTTCGTGATTGTATTGCTATTGTAGACTCTAGTTGAGTAGATTGTCTTTATTGGGTTATTTTAATTCTTTTTAACAAAATGTTGTTTTTAAATTCTTAAACACAAAACATGATCTGTTCTGTTATGGCAGTTTTGGGCAATTTTATTACAGACTACAATTGTGCTGGAAAGTGAAAATGCAATATATGGGGCATTGAAGTGAATTTAAAATGACTTGTTTCTTGTATGTTTTTAACTCTTCCTAGATCCATCATACTTGCTTGTTGATGCATTGATGGACAAGCGTGTAGTAGAATGACTGGAATTCTTTTCAAAAGCATCGTTACTAAAGGGTTTTTGCTCAACATGTGATGATACTTAATTTGGATTCAGACAAACATCAGCTATCACGTTCAAATTGCCTAATGGTTATAATAGAGTAAATTGTAATAATGGGGTTCAAAGTTGTCCTCAGATTCTAAATGCTCTCCTCAAAACAGTTACCCTGGCAAACCTTACGTCAACACCAAACTCAACAGCCACCCCAACCATAGATATGACTTAATATCGGAGAATAGCATCACTTGATAAACTTAGTGCAGCTGATGATGTGGTGGAAGCTGCCACTATCAGAAAAAGTGGAGTAAGTACTCTGATTATTATTATGCATGTCATTACTGACCACTTTTCAGCAGAAATCAGGCAACATATGTTTGGATAAGAAAATTTTTGATACTTTTTTACTAATTGAAATTTATTAAATCACAAAAATGTCATGGATGTACAATGTTTACAGCTGTGCATATGCAAATGGTGTATCAAATGGATTCAACAATCAACATCACAAAAAATATTGTATAGTATGTTCAAAACATTGAATGATTAAGTCAATCTGGATTTTTTGTGGTTCAATGTTCATACCAAATGTTTTCAAATCTTGTGACTATTTAATAACATGAATGTTTTCATTAGGGGTTTTTCATGTGAGCCTCTCATTTTCTGAAACTGACAAAGATGCAATAAGGATTGCAATATGCTAAAAGTTGATAAGTACACTTTAAATATTAGCTAAGATGTACTATAGGTATGTACACTCTGTGACTTTAGGCAGTGCTTTAACGTTTTTGGTGAATAAAACGTAAGGAGAAAGCAAATAAATGTGTCTTACGAGTCTCAAATGCACTAATTAAATCAAAGTCAACCAATTATAAGTGTGACGCATTGTTTATCAATTGCTTGGTTTACTCTGGTCACTGTTCTCTGCGTTTTTGTATTAAATTAAAGACATAAAGCTATTTCATGTTTATTTCTTTTGATACATACTACATGATACATACATATAATATCTAACATTATTTATGTGGATTTACAAGATACCAAAATTACCATAAACATTAACTCAAAATATATGTCAAACCGAGTTAAACTATGAGCAAGAAATACAATTAAATCCGAAAAGTTTGCTCTGGTCACTTTCAATGTTTCTTAGAATTCGCTTGTTAAAAGCTTCAACGTTATTAGTAATCAGTACAGAGTATTTATAATAATCCTATGGGAAGAGACAAAAGAGCCCAGTCTTTGGTCAAAAATTACCGAACATAACAAGTGTCGCATAAATGCAAATAAATACATATCATAGAGTGACAATCGTGATTGTTGATTTATCGGTTGAGTAAACGACATATCACAAATTATAGACTCGAGAAAATTATGTGTTCATATATGTGAAATGTGTTCATATGTAAAATGTATTCATATATGAAACAAATCATATATGAGCTCAGTTAAAATGTTAAACATTTCACACGTAAAACATTTCACATGTAAAACATTTCACATAGGAGGTGTTTCAGTTGAACAAATGAACTCATTTTACATGTGAAATATTTTATGTATGAATTTAACTCACATACGTATGAAGTGTTTCAATTTTGCATAAGGATTTTACATATCATTTCATATATGAAATTATAATGCGAAATTTTCTATGAAGGGCTCGGGTCTGCCAAGCACCGACATACCGAGCAAAGATGCAGATGAGTGAGATATGTCCCTAAAAAAATGCAGATGATCAGTGAGGACTGACGTTAAACTTGAAAAGGTCAATCCAATTGGATTTGCACAGAGCCACAGCATATAACTAGAGACTGGTATAAACAGGATACATAAAAACATGGCTGTCACAAAACAAAAAAAGGATTTTCTTTTGATCATTGTTCTGCGTAGCGTGAGCACTCGTTACTTACTTCAGTTCACCTTATTGTGGCTCCTCTAGCATTGTTAGAGGCAAACCCAGATAATAATAATGAACACACTGGTCAAGCGTATTTCGTGATTTTATTAGTATTTATTTTTATGAAAAAAAGGAATAACCCCAATCAATGAAGAAAAGGTATTCTTACATTTTGAAACATTGCAAAATTTTGAAATTTCATTCCATTATTTCATAGCAAATCTTAATTAGTTAAAAGAAAGCAAACGCAGAAATGTTGCAAAATAGGATCAATTGATCAAAATTGCTACGCTTGTTGAACGTTGTTTTGACAAACCAAACAATTCCTTGAAAAACTAAAATATTTAATGTATACATTTTTTGTAGATATAAAGCGCCAACGTTGGTCAAGACTTAAGAGCGACTGACTGTTGGTGTTGATGTTCCCGCAACGTTTGAACATGCTAGTTATGCTAAGGCTGTCCTAACATCAAGTTTACTTGATTCTAAAGATGACTAACTCTAAGGTTGTGGAAAAATCAATCAATTTTAACACCAACAGTCAGTCTTCTTCGAAACTCCACCAACCTGGACAATGTATGTATATATATGTAAGAACATGTTAGTTTTATATATTTAAAACAAATACCATGAAAACAATTCTTCTTTCAAAACGTCAAGGCTTCAGCTTTCAGCAACATCTGATATTTGAAATCCTGCTTTGGAGTAGATTTGACCAATCTCTTTACTGAAATTTGACGAAGTACATAATGTTTCATCTACGATTTGACCACTAGGACTATGCAACGTTGAAATTTCAGCACCATCATTTGACAAAACAACCGCTTTATCTGTAAAATTGTTTGTTGTACTTATATCCTTCTTCTCTAAGAGGTAAGCCACGAATGACATAAGTACTGCAGCAAAAAACTGAATTCCACCACAAACAAAAAATGGAATTTCGTAACTGCCAGTTTGTTTGTATAACCAAGCTAAAACACATGTAAAATGATATTGATATGAGATCCATAATAAATGTTGTTAATCAGAATGCACAAAATTAGTTCTTTCCAAAAGTAGCTGAAAATGTACAAAGTGAAAGTTAGATATATACCTGAAAAGGTGCCCCAAATGCATAAGGAAAAGCCAGCATCCAAAAGATGTCCCATTGCATGCATTGCTTTGTTGGTATCTTCAAAGACATCGTCATTAACAATTGCTATGAGACAGGTAAAGGCTCCATCAAAATTCCAAACAGCAGGGAAAATGCAATTAAACTTTGCATAGTATTTGCTATTGTAAGAAGCGTTGTTACCACGGACTGGAAGAGAAATATTAGTTGTCCCAATTGAATACGTGAGAAACCACAGACTCCAACAAGCCTCCCAAGACTAAAGCGACCAATAAGTGAACCAGCTGAAATAAATAGTGGAAGACGATCTCCATATTGTCGATTTACGCCTCGTTGAACAGCATAGTTTACCTAAACAATCAAACAAAAATATGAAAATTTAATTCTGACTTGCTGAATTATACGTAAGCTGATAAACCTTTGCACATTAACGCTTTTTCAGTTTGTTTCCATTCAAAATAAATTATTTGAGAAAATCTCAAAACAAACTTTAGTACAAAGATCCCAGTAAATGTCACTTAATTAGAATTTAATGTATTGAAAAAAACTAAGTGAAAGCGCGTGTAAATTGCGCATTCTTTAAAAATACATTGGATTCTTACTAAGAAGTATTAGAGAAATCAGACTTCTCAACAACCACTCCTGTGAACTCTGCTTGACGTAGAGCTATCTTTAGTGCAAATGTAAGAATTTGAAGTGAAGTAAAACTAAACAACCGATTTTTTTTGCTGACAAAAGCAAAACTCATTCAAAGCTATACTTACAATATGGGTATAAGGTATAAGACTAACGAACGTACAAATCATAATTGCCATGCTGAGCACTAAAAATGCGTAATTTTTCAATGGACCAAAATAATCATTCAAATTTACTGTGCAAGAGCATTTGCAAGCCAGACAACTATGTTTTGTTTTTTCTTCATCAACTTGTCTTTCTACTTTTGCTGGAATCATCACAAATGAAAAAATAACCATTGCAAACGTTATGTAGCTAAGAACTTTCATCGATCCTCGCCAACCATACATCTGTATCAATATAGGAAGCAGCAATCCAACCAGCACACCACCTGCTCCACTTCCTGCACTTGCCATACCAAATGCAACATCCCTTTTCTTCAAAAAATTTCTTCGAACTATCCAAATAGCAGAAAAATAACACAGATGTATTGCAATGCCATACATAACACTGTACGTGATGTATAATGTCCAAAGATCAGTTGCATTTGATGATAGATAAAGGCCTGTTCCTCCTATGAGTGATCCAACAAAAGTAACTATTTGTACAGGTATACAGTCCAAAATACGCACAGATAGTGGGCTAAGAATCATGACAAAAGCAAAATTTATGCTGTTGATCCAAGCTACAAAAGAAAATAGCTTTGTGATTAGAACAGATAGCTGTGGGAAAAACTAAATATGAAAATATAGCCAAATTAAACTATTATGATAATTCAACACAAAAGCGACAAGCAATTTCAAAAAAAAAATATTGAAAAATTTATTGTAACATAGACTACAAGGAATATATGTGTCTGTCAACACGGCATTTCCTGCATGAATAAATCTTTGCCTCCTACTTATTGTTCTTGTGGGACTACTGTTTCTATGGGAATGGAATCGGGATTAATTCATCATGTTGGTCGCGTGATGCAATACAAGAAGTTAAACTATCAGACTTATTTGTGGACGTGCATTGCAAGTTGATGTATTATATTAACTTTTATTTTGCAAGATATTTTTTTGTCTACTGAACAAGTTTTAAAATGGCTTGTGATTGTTTCCAAATGATTATTGTGGGGAAGGAAGAGTTAACCTCATCATGAAAACGCATGTAATAGAATTGCTAAAACAAAAATGTAGTAAAAATATGCACTCTTTAAACCTCTTAGCTAATTGTTTGAGCTGGTATAGAATATTGACTAAGCAACAAATCTACTACATATCTGACTCCGCGAAATCTCTGTTCTTACGAGTGAGACAATCCGCCATCTTTAAAGGATGCAAAACTATTGATACTTACGGCTAACATCAACTATTCCTGACTTGACATACAGTTGCAAAGTTGATATTATAGGTTTTTTAAACGTTTTGTAAAATTGAGTATTTACATGTTCTTTAAGTTTATTTTTCATTATGAGTTTTACTTTTTGCATGCACCGATTTTGGATGCATCGTTTGCAGAACATTAGGCTTTTTTAAGATGCTATATGCGTATGGGTTGTTTTAGAAAAATTCTACTTGAATTTGTGTTATTAGTGAATAATTGCAACAATTAAAGAATAAATATTTTCATGAGTATTCTTATACGTAACTGAGTATAGATGGATAATCTTCACTTTTTGATTAGATAAATGTTTTGCGCATAGGTGAGCTCTTGGTTGATATTCAATAAGATACAAAGCGAAACTTCGTATTTTCTACATTGGGTTAAATTCTTCGCACTTTTTGCACCGAATACCAATGGTAAAAAGATTTATAAACAAAGATAAAACCTTAGTGATTATTCGACATTGCGTGACCGATATTCACTGAATGAAAGTTCGTGAAATCAACAATTACCAGACTACTACATCTACTACCAGACATCACATGGGCAAGTGATTACACTTCTTTGATAAACACACCAAGTAAATTCTTTAAAGAGAAACTAAACGCATTAGAGGCGTAAAACATTTTTGTGTGTGGACACGATAAAGTTGTATTTTTAAATATTTTCATGGATTCAGAATGCTTTTTATTAAAAATTTAGGTAAGTTAACTAAGGTAAATTTAAAAAAGCCAAACTGACATACTGAATGTCCAAGATCAGATAAAACTGTGAATGAGTATCTTTTTTCATTTATAACCAACAGGTTCTGCGTATAATAATTTCAGGGACAAAAACTGAGTTATAAAAGGTACGGATTATGTATGGTCTTCATGAAAAAGATGTTGGGGCTCTAAATGAGGACTATACATGCGTTGAAATGTATATTTGCTCAAACATTTCAATATAACATATAGCAACATGGTTGCCTTGGAATCTATAGCTATCAAAGGGATGTTTACCGACGTATTTCAAATCATTATAAATTTAGTTCTAAATTTCCTCTTATCAATGTATTCATTAGGGACGTTCAGACTAAATATCCCCCATAAATATAAAAACAAGTACGTTTCGTTTCCACAATTTATTCTTGTGAGTTGTAATAGAGAAATTGCGTCAGCTCGCCTCTATAATTTCCACGGCTGAATAATTTTCATATTTGCTGAATGAAAAAGGTTCATAGCATGATGTCTTCTGCAAGTCTTTTGAGACCACAGTACTTCGAGGGCAAGGTTTTAAAGTCAAAAGTCTTCTTGTTAAGCAGCTACATTGCCAATTTCTCAGACACGAGTATATCTTTCACTTTCCTGTTCAAAATCATCAAACTCATTATTACAGGCCTTAACTAACTTCTGATTCACAATTTATGTCGTTGAGTGAAAGCAAACAGAAATCGTTTTTTTCTCGCATTGGGAAGTTTCTTTTAAATAACTTGTAAAAGACAGTGATTAACCTAACTTCTAGAATAATTAAACTACCATTTCTATTTGCAAGGTATATTCATTCATATGTTTACTGAACCAATTAAAAAACAAAATATTTTTTGGTGAATTTGTATATTCCATCGCTGACCATAAAAAATTCACATTTTGAACACCATCAATGGTGGTAAATGCTCAAATCAGTGAGCAAAAAATTCGATAAAATTATTGTCAAGCCGATAAATTTAAGACATTGATTATTCCTTCCTTAACAATGCTATTAAAGAGTAAATTACACAAAAAAATTAAATTACACAACTTAATAAACGCTACTGCACAGACTTAGACTTCGAATAAGTTTTTTTTATTCTTAAAATAACAAAAATCACGTTAGTTTCAAAGACCCTATTCCTACTCTTTAAAAATTCAAGGTGTTTTATGAATTATCTTGTGCTGGATGTAAATCCAGTTACATTAGGGAAACCACCTGCCACCTTTCCACACCGAAAGACACTTACTCTCGTTACCACACTACAAAAACAATTGCACACAATCCTGCTTCTGTATCTTAGATTCCGCTAACACTCCTTTTGCCCTTAAACTCAAAGAAGCCCTTTGTGTCAAGAAACGTAAATCTAACCTTAACAAACAAATACAAAAACTTAACACTATGTTAGAACTATAAATAGCAATTATTACTTTATCATTTATTATCCATTTTTTTGTTTCTTTTTCTTTTACAACGCGTGACACAAACATATTATAACACCTTAATCAACTGTAAATAATTCTTCGTAACTATTCGATACTTCCGCTTTATCACAAAATATATCATTATCTAATCTTCCTATTGATTCAATTTGCGCTGAAGATGGTCTAAAGTATACCGAAACATTTTTTCTTTAAAGAAATTGTCGTTTATTTCAAATGTCCAATTAACTTAAACTAATAAGGAACTGAAAAATTAATCATGAAAATAACAAACATCAACACGTGTGTGACGTTGATGACGTGTCAAATTATTAACACATACAGTTCTCTGTCGTTAAAGCATTTGCTACTAGTCTTCCAATCTCAATTTACTTGAATGGATATAATACAAAACACATACTAAAATTGTTACTCGAAGCTAGAATTTTAATTTAAGCGCTTATTACTTGCGTCTAACGCGCAAATATATGGTCACAGAGGTCAGAATTAAAGTTCACAAAATAGGGCTACAATTTCCGCTTACTTCCCTGGCTGAAACTCAACAAAACGTTGAAAGCAAAACAATTTATCGATTTGTTGCCAGTGAGGTAAAAGGTGGAAAACGGATTCCCGATGTAAAGAATAGAGTCCGCCAGGTTGTTTTTGAAAAAGTCACAAGCGGTTAGGTTTTACTAGTATTTTTTAATAATATTGAGAGACAGAAAGCGGAGTTTGGTCTTATTTGACTCCAGCAATCTTCAGACGAAATAATATTTGTAATCAGAATATTAATGTCTCCATGACTGTTATCCCTTCTCAAGTTACACTTTTTAACTAGGAAAAGGCTTTAGTTGATTTCATAAAATAGCTATGTGTCCATAAATGAGCATTGTATAATAATATTTATAAAAATATTTGATTCCTGTCTTGTTCTACTATCCAAACTTACGTAGAATTCATGGAATAAGTAGTTGCATTAAAACAAAATAATTAAGGCAAGCGTGCGGTAGGAATCACTCGGTTATACTCACCGGCCTCGCTTTCATGGCCTGGAAATTCATCCAAGAGTTCAACATAGAAAACGCCAAAAGAAAAGGAAACGCCGAAGAAAACAGCATGGTATATAAACGACGAAATTGCTTGTATCCATGATAAATGGCTGTCTACTTCAGGCCTCATAATAATACATGAGCTACAATTCATGGTCAAAGCAAAGCACAAGTGCTCGAATTCTGTTGACGATATTAAATCTTCCAAATGATACTGTTATCCCTGAGTGAGTTTTTTTTATGTACGGAAAACTACAACAGAAAATCAGAGATATGACTTTCATTCTAATGGTTATTGGACTTCATCATTGTTCAATTAGTTGAAGCTTGTTGACATTTCAGTTGTAGTCTTGACCAATCAATACGCGCCATTGGATTTATATATAAAATAGAACTTTGACCTTGAAATTTATTCCATATTATGTATTTTTCCTGATGCTTCAAACGAAGCTTTCGTAACGTGCGCATATGTCAGGTGCGAAACGAAGAATAACTTATTTGTCAGTAGATTTATAGCTGCAAAATCCAGAGTTGCATCACTGTAATCGATTTCAATACCGAGATTAGATTTTCATGCAGCAGTGTTGGCAACACGGTTATTTCAGTCCTTATCAGAAGAAACAAGATTACAGTTCAAGCAGTCTTCTTTTCTGATAGTCAGATTCTCTTCTCCTGGACTAGAAATAATGCTAGAGAGTGAAACCTTTTGTATCAGTGATTTACGTAAACATTTGATATTAAGCAGTGCGAATTGCTGAAATCTAAACAAAATCAAATCCCACCCAATGGAGACATTTTTCTGGTTTGCAGAATGTCGCGGATGATGTTTCAAGAGGTATATTGCTCGAACAATTGGTTTGTAGATGGAAACATGCTCCTAATTTTCTTGAGGTATCGGAAGAAGATTGGCCAAGAGAAAACACATCGACACCTTCACAATTGTATTCTAAAACCTATAAATCAGAACGTTGAAAAGCTTATACGATATCCCATGTCTCACATTATGAAGACATAATACAGTACGACAAATTTTCTAGTTGGAAAAGGCTCATTCGTGTTACCGGTTACGTTCTAGCATTCATCCATAAGGTACAAGAAAGGTTAAAAAATAAAAATCTGGACATTGACGAGCAAGGCAAATTAAATAATTATGGCAGTGGATTTGTTAAAAATTTAGAGGAAGCAGAAGTTTATCTAATAAAACTAGCTCAAAAATTACTTCCCTATCGTGTCGAGAAGAAAGAATTCGACGCGTTAAGTCCATTCACAGACGGAAAGGGTATTATTAGAGTTGGTGAAAGGGTAGGCGAGGCTGCTATCTCATACGATACGAGACATCCTGCATTGTTGCCGCGTAACAATCGCATATCACGGTTGATTACTCGTTGTTTTCACGAAGCGGGTCATGATGGAGTTGTGGCAACCGTTGCGAAAGTTAGAGAAAGATGTTGGATCGTAAGAGGTCATGACCTGGAGAAGACTGTTAATTTCCGCTGTGTTGTATGTTGTTAAAGACTAGCAAAAACCGAAGAACATATATATGGCCAAACTTCGTAGGACACGTCTAAAGACACATTCACCACAATTTTACCTCACAGAATTGAGATGTTGTTGTTGTTATTGAATTGTGCAGTCGTTTTCAAAACGTATTGGTCATCAAATGAAAGTTTCAAAATGAATAAAAAAAAGTGATGTCATGCTTTTGAAGAATAATTTAAATAGATGTGTTAGAGAGCGCAAAATATGATACAGATCCTGCAACGTGCACGACATGATGCCCAACGTGGGGCTCGAACCCACGACCCTGAGATTAAGAGTCTCATGCTCTACCGACTGAGCCAGCCGGGCTGAGTGATGTAATAATGCCCTTCATACGATCCAATTTGGCGGATCTGATTTTTTCGGGTCTTAAAAAATTGGTCGTGTGAGCACATATAAAATTAGCTTCCGACAGTTGAATTCGTCATTCTGAAAAATTGGATGGAAACATTGAATTATATTAGATGGAAGGCTACCCGTTATAGAAAAGCCTAACAACTTTTTGAAGCCAAATTTGACCTCCAAACGCTTCAAAAAGCATGCTTCACCATGATATATTTGTACGTACACCTATTTCCCTCAGAAGCCCTTATTTAGCGAGGATTTGACGAGTACTATCATACATTATCTAACTTACATTTTTAAACCAAATCTCATGTTAGTTTGAACATAAAATTGCGTTTTTGTGCGTCCACGGAGGAACACTAATAATAATTGTTTTCGGTAAAAATACATTTACAAAACTGATGTTTTTTTAGAATTTTCTGTGCTTTTCTATTCTACTTTGAAACCAAAACGCTTTAGTTTTTGACACATATACAGACATATCAATACAAACAATCATAACAAAATGCCTTCTAGTTATGGTTAAAAATCTAATTGTTAAAAGTTGTGTATACTTGGTGTGTGAAGTCTCATTTGTGAAAGTTTTGTTTGCCAAATTAAGACAAAAAAAATTTGTTTTAGTTTTTGAGATTCGTCGTTTGTACACGATATTTTCTTCCTTCTGTCTATTGGCCGTGTGTTTACAATGCGCGGAAAGACTGAGCTCTACTGGCTTCAAAATATCGAATGATATAGCCTTCCATATATTTAGTTCAATGGTGTAAATAGAACTTGCTCGATTTTCATCCGACATGATCAAAGAAAGCCGACTACTTCTGTACCTCTAACTCTTTATACTTTCCAAATTTCTTTTGCGCAAACATCAGATTTGAAAAAGTCTTGGAAACAAAAAAAAATTCGCATAAAATATAGACAAATGTACCAGGTAACCTAAATGCCTTCTCCAACGACTATAAAGTAATAAACGATTATAAATATCGCTTTGGCGATAGGACCTTGGTTCAATATTTCGCCGTAAAGAGTTAGTAAGGTTTGTAAGGCTTAGCAAATATGAAAGAAAACGTAAATCCTAGATATGAACCTTAGAGATGTTGAAAGCAAAGAACAGTTCTAAAGCAAGTTTAGAGGGGAAAGTGTTGGAAAAAAAAAGTTGGAAATCGAGTTTAAGAAATTTGCATGTGATTAAGCCTGGCAAAGGAGCTGAGGCTAACTCTGGAATTTGAAGAATGTTTTTTGCCACCTCGTAAAAACAAAATCTGAACTTGTGCTCAATTATGTTGTTTATTTAAGTATTGAAGGTTATTAGTTATTACATACGTGTGGTTGTTGAGTTATCATAACTTGTATTTTGTTTAGCAGTAGTCAAGGGGGCGTTGAAAACTAAACTCTCCTGTATGCCTTAAGATATTTAAAAAGTGCAGTTTACATTATTATTTGATCTATCTTGTTTTGTACTAATGCAGACATAAATCTTTATAGCTTTACTCTTATTTCAAAATTTTTGAGATGTGTTTCTAGTTATGTAGGATTCGCTGAAATAGGAACTTATCATAACAACAGTTGCTATGGGTACGAAACCGTCTATTAGCATAAACAGACAATGTTTTCAACATAATATGGATCTCTACCACGTATCCGTAGCACTCCATTAATGTTCAAGTTTACTGTCTTTTTATATATTCTGTGTTAAAATCTCATATGGCATTATTACTAATTACAATAAACCATCATATGTAATCTTCACGTGCTGGGAGGTCCGCACAGAAAAATATTTTCACGAAGTCTTTAAAGCGATCCAAAGCCTTAAAATATTTTTTAAGTACGAATCGACTTAAACGGCAAATAACATATTTACCTTTTTGTTTATATTTAGAAGAAATTTGTGCTGTAAAATGTCTGAAAGAAATTTTTCAAAATTTGCATTTTACGTATAAACAAATAAACATTACAAAAAATGTCACTTATGTCCGACGGACAAGATATCGTAAACTTGCTGCCCGTTGAGGCAGCAATGAAATTGCTGGAAATGAAAAAAAAACATCACTTGGCAGCATAAATAAGAAAAATAAGTACATTTATTCTACTTTACTAATTATTAGCCAGAGCTCTGTGAACAGTGACACAGTATGAGATAAACAATGCGTGTGTAAAAACCGAAACTGATTGAATACTATCAATCTGACTGAATACACCATCTTTTGTTTTTTTCCGTATACTGATTGAATACACCATCTTTTGTTTCTGATTGAATACACCATCTTTGTTTCTTTTGTTTCCGTATACTGATTGAATACACCATCTTTTGTTTCTGACTGAATACACCATCTTTTGTTTCTTTTGTTTCCGTATACTGATTGAATACACCATCTTTTGTTTCTGATTGAATACACTGTCTTTTGTTTCTTTTGTTTCCGTATTCTGATTGAATACACCATCTTTTGTTTCTTTTGTTTCCGTATTCTGATTGAACACACCATCTTTTGTTTCTGATTGAATACACCATCTTTTATTTCTTTTGTTTCCGTATACTGATTGAATACACCATCTTTTGTTTCTGATTGAATACAAAATCTTTTATTTCTTTTGTTTCCGTATACTGATTGAATACACTATCTTTTTTTTCAAACTCTTGTTCTATCTTGAATATCAAGAAAACGAGATGTCCCTCTTCGGAATTTGTTTTATTTTGTATTATTTGAAATTGGCTGTTTGTCCTGGTTATTGATTGAATACTAGATCGATCAATGTATATATGTATTTTTTGACAGACTTAAATATAATTGATGTCTGCGAATACCTACGAAGTTTGTATCAACATATTTTAAGTTGATCAAAATCAATTTTTATTTTACTCCTTTAAAGAATACTGTGCTCTTCAATTTTAGAAATTCAAGCGGCGGTGAATCGGAGGTGGCGCTGTTTAGTAAGATTTTCAACGTGGGTTTTGAAACAAGAATATTTGAATCAACTAAATATGAAATTACAATGTTTTAAGAGAAAATAAATTTCTAAGACGTATTTATGATTTGTGGTTGTTTTGCAATAGCGTCTTCAACCATTTCGAAGCTGTGCCAGTTATTTAAACATTCATTTGAAAAAAATATAAGTGCAGCGCATATATGGGGCATGCTGTTTGAAAAATAGTAATTTCAAATGCAGTGATTATTCGAGGGAGGCTTTCTTTCTGGGGCAGCGCTCAAACGAGTATATATAGTCTTCTACATCCAGTGCAAATAAGAGTTCAACAAAATAAAAATTTTTTTTGTTTTGTGAACTCTTCTTATATCCTGAAAAATCACACCCGGTAAAAATACACTGAAATAAAAAAAAATTGAGATTTCTCTATTATATAGGTTATGATAAAGACTGAGCTTAGACATGTTACGAATAGTGCGTTGCATGCAGACTGCCAGCAACTAAAAAAGATAAGGTAGTTCAAGACCAAGCTAATTTGAGTTGATAATGGTGACTTATTTTAGAAAAGCTTTTTCAAAAGCTGTATTTTATAACTGATCATTTAAAATTGTTCAAACAAGCCTTCAAAAATTATTAATTATTAATTAATCGGTGTTCCTTGTTTCTATCAACTTTGCCTTACTATATATCAGTTCTAAAAAATTCTTAGTTTCACATAGTTGTTTAATATCGGTTGTCACTAAATGTTCTTAGGTGTGTGTGGAGGGGGAGGTGCAAACGTGGGGTTGCGTCCAGTTTGTATTTGAAAATCTTAGAGTTCAGGTTCGTAAGTGATCCAAATCACTGAGAGCCTAAGCACCCCAACTACACCTTATCACACCGAATCAAGTTTTGTGGAAAAGAAAATGGAAAAAAAATTCTTTCTGTACTTCACCGCAAAGTGTCGATAATGATGACCTAATGCAATGCCGTGCATAAGGCACACGAGATGTGATACTCGTTCCCAATCTGCACAAGCCGTTCCTACAATATTAAACTTGGTTACTGCATAACCTCATTTAAACAAATTTTTCTAAAACACTTTTGCATATTTTGAAACATCTCATAAGCAATAATGTAAAAATTTTTGTCAAATATATTACATGTCCCTCTTGTCTTTTCAGTTATAGATATCCAGTAAGACGTCATTTGTGACAGAAAAAGGTAAACAAGCCCAACGGGATTCAAAATTTAACTAGCAAACTAATTTATTTTGCCATCTCTAAAACTTGGAGCATTTAAAAATTCGAGGTTTCAGTATATTTTACTCTATAAATAGCGTACACAATCTATGACTGAAGCAATTCAATGTATCAAGTCAATCCATGTGATTATTATTTAAAAACAAAACAAATTGTGTGATGTTAATTCAGTGCATCAGACCTCTAAATATGTAATTTACGTTTTTACAAAGCAGGTGTTTCTTCTAAACAGCTTTTAGCATTTACGTGATGTGAGCTTGTTTTTCTTTACAATGCTTTTTAAATTTGCTCACAACCCATCAATGCTGTCTGCAGAAAAGTATTTGAATTTAATGGTTATACTACTTTGGTTGTTTAAAATTTGTTGTCAAAGCAAAAGCGTAAATTTTTGTTACGATGCTTCATACAAAGGTAAAGTAGTTACTTCTACAAGAAGTTGTACGATGTCCATTCGTTAAACGTTCTATGTCCTCTAATAAATTTACGAAGCATTGTTGTAGAATTATACACTTTGTATATTGACATAACTTGTTTTTACCCTAGGACGGAGACTGCAAGGACATATTTTTAAGAAAACCAAAGTACAGATGGAATTGGAATGCATCTACTTTTGCGCTAAAGAGCCATGTTGTCGGTCTGTAAACTACAGGAGACAGTTAAGTCAAGGACTTTCGAGTCTTTGTGAAATGTTACATAGTGTCATCAACGATAGCAATGAAAAGAACTTAAAACAAAGTCGATTTTACGATTATATTTTCTTTAATTCACCCGTCAAGGTAAACAAAAACTTTAAGGCTCTGGCTATATTTACATCAAAGAGACATTTATGATAAGCATTCTGTTTTATTTTTAGATGTACAACAAAACCTGTGAGCTCCTAACGCGTAAGTTTTTGTAATAATAATTTTCACTAAATAATAATTTAGGCCTATTTTCATTGTTTTTTTTATAGCCCTTAACAAAAGTCACGAGCTACTCTTTCCCAGTGCCCATTTGGAAAATGTGATTTTATTGGAGAATAAGATTCCTAAAATGTTGGAGATGACGTTGATATTTTGGATGAACACTGACGCAACTCAGCAAATGGCGTTGTTTTCTTATGCTGTAAAAAATAGTCCTGGTGAGCTTTTTGTCGGAATTCAAAAGGAAAAGATGATTTTCACCGTAAAATCAAGTGATACATTGTAAGTAAAATGATTTACTATGCAGGGGACGCACAAGATCGATATTTAAGGGAAGGGGCGCTTGCATATTGATATGTCATCTATGTGTCATTACTTACTGATCAATTAATCCATACCAAAAATAATTTTTATGTGATATTAAAAATCGTCCTATAATGGGAACTTCATTTTCCGATAATGTTATTGTTTGGAGTTGGATTGGTATGTTAAGGTTACTATATTTTGAAATCTTAAACATCAGCTGATTAATTTTTGACAAAATCATGCCTTTAAGTGCAGTAGTTGAAAATGCATCAGCAAAAATTATTAAACTGCATCAGTGAAACTTATTTAGCGTTAAATAAGTAAAAAGATACGGATGTCACAGTTTACAAAATATTATTACTAATTCACTAGTAGATTGACAACCTAACCATTATTATTCGGCCATGTTTTTTGAGCCGAATGGATGGCTGATAAATATGAAGAAGCCGTAATTTGTATTTTTTGAAAGCTAAAAGCTAATACACCACTAATATATAATTTTATGGTTATTTATGACATTGATATATAATTTTAATTTTAGTTTTGTAATAAAGTATGTGCTTCATCAATTTTCAAGTTAACCTTCCATCATTCTTTCTTTTAATATTTAAAGGTGTTGATACATGTGGCAACTAATAAATTATTAATAGTAACAAATAATGTTTATGATGCAAAGAGATATTAAATGAACTCAACACGAATGTAGAGGCTGTAGAAAGCAGGGATAATTCTATAGACAGATATTTTTGAAAAAGGGCAGTTCTAGTTTTAAAATGGGTGATTCTACAACCTATGACAAGCAGTTTTAAATAAGGTCAAAAATTTAAGTAATTCTTATCTTGCTAAGAAACGCGTATAATTCTAACGCTCGGTTCTTTAATATCATTATTTTTACTACGGTTTTAAGTTGTCTGCTCTTCATACAGGATGTAAGTTGTATTTTCTCTTCTTCGTTGCAATCTTTTTTTACAAACGTAAATTTGGACTTCAAATAATGTGATCAAAATGGGTGGAAATGCCTTTTTATACAGCCTTAATTTGTAAAGTATGCAATCCACTGTTCTCGAAATAAGACCCGGACTTTATTTAACGAGGACGTAAGATTCATGGCATGGATTCCTGGTAGAAATAAATATAATAAAAAAGTGTCCGTTTTTGTTTCAAATCTTTTTTAAACCGTTAGTCTTAACAGTTAAGTTTTGCACACAGCTTTGTGCGATTGAGGGCTTTTAGAGAGAATTCAACTTTATATTTTGCATGGTTAGCAAGATGGTCTTGGGGTGCCGTAAGTAGGGAAATAAAGACATTTTGCCTTTTACCCCTGTTTGGAAATTTCACTAGTTTCTAGAAACTAGTGGCACAAGTCTCAATCCACCTCAGTATTCTAATGACATCATAAGAGTAACAGCATTATACATAAATCCAAAAGGGTCTTAATACGCATTTGAAAAACTTGGGAACTGGACTAAGTTTGAAATCCACCTTTGAGATACTAATCCGCCAATCTATATGTCGAGCTAGGGGGCTCTAAGGTATTAAAGATGAGTCAAATCTCTTAAGGATTCATAATATTATGGAAAAAAATAACACTGCTCATACATTGAGCAGTTGTTTCGACATTAAAATTATTTAATATTGAACGTCTTCACTCTGGACTTTCGCGTCATATTACCCCTCACAATGAATGAACATTTTCGTTTGTGGCTTCAAGTATTTATAATTGGTATTAGTTCAGAAAAGACAAACTCATCTAAACTTTAATAGAGATTTGTCGCAGACTGGTTTAATTTTCCAAAGCGAGAAAGCACTTGCAGTTATATAAAAACAAGCTTCTTTAACTAACTACAGGCTATGGAATTTGAAGGGGCTTGAATTGAAGGAGAGTCAAATGAAATAAGATAATAACGAAGTTATTGTTAGGTGTGAACTGTTTACTTTAGTACTCAAAAAGAAATAAACAATACCATGAAGTTGATGAATATACATCATTTAAGCTGTGTGTTTTACAGTGGCGGATCCAGTGTTAGTGAAAATGAATTACTGCTGCACATTTTAAAATACATTAACATTTCTAAGCCACTCAGGAACAAGTCCATTGGTGAAATTATATACTTTAGGAATTAAAAACCACTAGTGCTTTTCTCAAATACTTTGATTTTAAATTAAGCAACTTTAATTTGTTTTGCTCACTGCTGTTTTATAATATGGAGTCAAGTTGCGATGATGATGAACGATAGTTTTGTTTTATAATTTAAACTCGACTTATTTTGGATGATGCAGAATATACTAAATACATTTTGCTTGCATTTTGTTTTATACAACTTCTTAAGTAAATTAATGAAATTGGTGCTCTGGTTTAGTTTAGATATTACATCATATTGAATGAAAATGATTTTTACTTCGTTATTTTTCATCTTACTTAGATTTAATTAGACTCATATGCCATAATTACCTATTTTCTCTTTCAATAGCTAATTCTCGACATATTCCCTTGTTAGCAAACTTTGAAGAAAACAATTTTACATTCCATAAAAAAACCATGCTCAAAACTTTCTGTGTTGTAATGTGTAAAGAATTAAAAACGTTGTCAGAATCGTACAACATTCTTCATGAAAAAAATACGAAATGGTCATTACCATCAGAATTGCAGACAATTTATCTTTTAATTTTGTTTATGATGCTCGACTTAGTACGACAATGTAACAATGTTTCGTTAAAAATATGAGTGAAGTACACTTGTGAGGATGTGAGGACAACATGTTTATTATTCAAATAATCATATTTAAAACAAGTGTAAATAATAAGCATCTATTGCATCAGGTTGAGGCAGATAACGTTGACGGAGGTCTGAATAATTCTTGATATCACGGGAAAAACAAATTAAATAATTGTTTTACTATCCACTTTAACTAAATGAAATATTCCTAAAACATAACAATATAAAACACTTTTTCAAACCTTTACTAATTTTTTGGCAGACAGTTTAATGAACTTCGTTTCGTTGAAATGTGTTGTAAAGTGTTAAAGCCATCCTCCCCGCTTTTTGTGTTCAAAAGCTTTCACGTCGTTTTTAGAAACTGTGGCAAACATTGCTGTTGTTTGACATGTTTTAATGTCGTCTGTAATTGTAGAAACTGTTATATTTAGATATATGACGTCATAATTTCCGATATCGAAAATTATCTAACATGTAGTTGACCAATCACAGCCAACATTGTTTACATAGTTAATTATATAAACATATAGCGCAAACATAAAAAATATCCTTAGCACACAAAGCCTTAATTTTTTTTTGTGAAATAATAAAACAGACAATTTTTAAATAAGCGCTTCAATTTTTCTATTAAATTGTATTTATGATTGATATGCCATTATAATTTGATTGATCGATGGACTAATTTATTGTTGGGATCAGATCAGTTTACAAAAGCTAATCCAAACATGGTATGTAAATATCAGCCATATGTTTTATTTCTTTCATTATATCGCCTTAAATGTGCTGGGCGTAGTGGCGTGCGCCTGTAACCGAGCTACTTTGGAGCTGGTAGTGTAGAACGACTTGAGGTTAGGATTCTTGTTGTATACTGACCTAAATTGATCAGGTGTCCATGCTATGCTTGGTGTCAGCATGGTGGTCAGTAGGGAACTTCAGATCACCAGGTTGCGTAAAGAAGAACGTACTGGTCAAGGATGGAAACAGAGCAGACAAAAGTTCCTGCATCAAGCAGTAGTGGGATAGCACGTGTGAATAGGAAGTGTACGACAGTCTAGTCAATAGAGTGGAACTCACTATCTTTTAAATTTATATGTAATCTTTGTCAGCTTGATGGTATTCGATTACATTTCTTAAAGAAGAGGAATATATTTTTCTTTTATGCAAAAATTTGTTTAACCTTTTGTTTCTGAATGATAGCTCTTAATTTAACATTTCAGATTTATTGTATTGTCCATGAAACTTCTTTAGCTGATAATCATTTAAATAATTAAACTAATCCCTTCAAGCGAATCTTTGCTTGTAGTTGAAGTTTTCTATAGGGTGTCGCAAAAAAGTAATCGCGCACATAAAATTATATATGCATCAAAATAAATTTACATTAGATAAATTAGTCCGGGAAAGCTACTTCTTTCACCTGGTTAATTTAGATAAACGCTTTTTAGTGTTTGTTTCAACTACAAGAAAATATAATTGCGTTATTGTGGCTGTTATAGTTCAGTTAATGTCTTTTCAATTTTAAAAAGCTTCCACGTATTAAGTTTGAGGTAAATATCATTGCACGACGGTTCTTTCAAGTTGTTTTGCTTTAACAACGTACAAACACTGCAAAATTCCAGAGGTGTAGAACTGTTAAAATTATAAAACTGTTTTGAATGCTAGTTAAATAATTACTGTGCAAAATAAGTTTAACGAATACATAATGATTTACTTAAGTTGTTTTTCTTTACAAGTTTAAATAAATATATAATTTTATGGTTTGGTTTTTTAAAGAGTGGCTTAATGCTTGAAACTTGATAATTTGCAAAAAAGTGTAGAAACACTATACATAAAAAATTTTTAATGATATATATCAAAAAAATTCTCAATGCTTGTTGGTTTAAAGAAGTGCATTTTATCATAAAACTAGTGCATAAAATAAAAAACACTGTGCAGTTAATTGAAGAATTAACTGTAAAGCCAGAAAGACTTCTACTACTTAAAATCATGGCCAGAGATTTTCCTGGCGGAAAGCGAATTTTCAATATGAACATTATAGCCCAAGATAAGACTTTTACAAAAGCCATGACAATGGTAAAATAAAGAAAGATTTATTAATAACGTTTCGTCTTTAACTTAAGACTACTTCAGATTTTTTGAGATAAATTATATACATGAGGTTTCAAATACAAGTATATATTACAGGTTGTTAAATTACATGTAAGGGGAGTAGGAAGTTTAGATGACGGAATTAAGTGAGAATGGCGGTATATTAAAGAAGGTGAAGGGGGATTGAGTTGCCTTTGGTGTTAAGAGAGGGTTTAAGTTTGGATATAAGAAGGCTTTCATGAATCATAAGGTCATAATTGTCGGAGGAGGAAGAGAATTGAGAAGTCATTAAAGTCAGCAGAGTGAGATGTATTTCTTATATGGGAAAGAACAGCAGGTGGTGGTAGACATAAGGAAGGTTTCTGTGATAAGGAGAGATTCCAAAGTGTTCCGATATTCTGGTGTGTAAATGACGCGTGGTTTGACCCACACGATGCAGAGCAGCATCGACACTTAAATGAGTACACAACACCAGATCTCAGGAGATTGGGAATCCTATCTTTAAATGGAAAGAAAGAGGAGAGAAGCCTGGAAGAACGAAAAACAAAGCGAACGTTGATATGAAGAAAGGTAGCATTGCAGAGTCGAGTGATTTGAGTGCGAATCTGAAGACAGTGTTATTAGAGAAGATATGATTAGTTATCATAGCGCTTGTTTCATCAACTGGGATGTTGGTGAACAATGATTTAACATCAAAGCTCGCCATCACAACGTTATTGGCGTTAATATGACTGTGTAAAAGATCTTGGACAAAAGAGAAAGAGTCCTTGATAATATGGGAGCCGGCGGAGATTGGTGCAAGGAAACGAATAAAGAATTTAGCTAGCTTGTAGGAGTAGTGGTCAATACAAGATAAGATTGGTCTTAGAGGGATTGAGGATTTATGAATTTTAGGGAGTCCATATAGTATGGCGATACGTGTACCAGTGGGATAAAGTTCGTTGTACGTCTTTTCATTTATGCATTTTACTGCCTTTAGTTTTCTCAGCACCGTCTTTACTTGACTCTCGCGTTTCAGTGTAATTTTGATAGCATCATCATTTAAAAGTTAGAATTGCGATGTGCCCGCTAGAATTTCCATCATCTTTTTGTGGTAGTCGTTTTCATTCAGAATAACAACTCCGTTGCCTTTATCCGGTTTCAGAATGACGATGTTGTTGTCATTTCTCAGGCCATTTAACGCGTTTAGTTCATTCTTCGTGTATAAAGCATCAATAACGTTGTGATGGCGAGCTTTGATGTTAAATCATTGTTCACCAACATCCCAATTTATGAAACAAGAGCTATAATAACTAATCACCTCTTCTCTAATAACACGTCCTTTCAATCCTTGACCGTTTACAATTCACTAAACTTCTCTCCCTCTCCATCAAAAACTGTCATTTCATCTTTAATGGTCAAGTTTATCAACAGATTGATGGTGTGGCTATAGGCAGCCCTTACGCTATCTATTTGCTAACATATTTATGTCCTTCAACGAGAATTCATGGCTTCACAACAGTCCCTCCACTTTCAAACCCCTTCTTTACCAACGCTACGTTGATGATTGCTTTCTACTCTTTCGATCATTGGATCACATACCTCTTTTCCTTACCTATCTCAACCACCAACATCCTAACATCTCCTTTACATCCGAACTGGAAAAAGACAACACACTTCCCTGTCTCGACGTAAAAATAACTCACTCAAACGACAAGCTTTACACCTCCGTGTATCGTAAACCCAATATCACTGGTCTCTTCTCCAATTTCCATAGTTTCATTCCCATTCTGTACAAACGCTCCTTAATCTCCTCTTTACTTCCCAGAATTTTCAACCTCTGTTCCAGCTATGAACACTTTCATACCGAACTAGAAGTTGTTAGAAAATTGTTTATCTTAAACAACCTCTCTTTATTCATATTTGACAATCATCTTCACCGCTTCCTCAACAATACATTTAAACCCAAAGCTCCTATTCACACTGCTCCTAAGAAAATCATGTTCTTCTGTATCCCTTTTACTGGCCTACACTGTCTTCAGATTTGCACTCAAATTACTCGTCTCTGCAATGCTACCCTTCCTTATATCAGCGTTCGCTTTGTTTTTCGTTCTTCCAGGCGTCTCTCCTCATTCTTTCCTTTTGAAGAAAGGTTTCCAAGCTCCTGAGATCTGGTGTTGTGTATTCATTTAAGTGTCGACGCTGCTCTGCATCGTATGTGGGTCAAACCACGCGTCATTTACACACCAGAATATCGGAACACTTTGGAATCTCTCCCTTATCACAGAAACCTTCCTTATGTCTACCACCACCTGCTGTTCTTTCCCATATAAGAAATACATCTCACTCTGCTGACTTTAATGACTTCTCAATTCTCTCTTCCTCCTCCGACAATTATGACCTTATGATTCATGAAAGCCTTCTTATATCCAAACTTAAACCCTCTCTTAACACCCAAGGCAACTCAATCCCCCTTCACCTTCTTTAATATACCGCCATTCTCACTTAATTCCGTCATCTAAACTTCCTACTCCCCTTACATGTAATTTAACACCCTGCAATATATGTTTGTAAAAACATATATCTTCCGGGTTCAAACCATTTACTTTTTTACCCTGTAATATATATTCTTGTATTTAAAACCTCGTGTATATAATTTATCTCAAATAATCTGAAGTAGTCTTAAGTTAAAGACGAAACGTTATTAATAAATCTTTCTTTATTTTACCATTGTCATGGCTTTTGTAAAAGTCTTATGTTGGGCTGTTATGGTCATATTGAAAAGACTTTGATCTTTGAATTTTCAATAAAAAGAGAAGATGCAGACTTATTCTTCAACATGCAGTGAAGTGATGTATTACATACATATAATAACACAACTACCCCTAAAAAAAGTCTATGTAAGTTTCTTATGTTAGAGAGTGAACTAAACTGGTTCATGATAACAAAAACTTGGTATATTTCATATACAATAGTTTAGTGTCGTAGCAAGCCCGAAAGTTTTTGTATTGTCATGTAAATCTTAGGTTTTTAACATTATTCCTTTCTTTAGGAATCTTTTGTTTTTACAATGATTAAACAATAAAAAAATTAAAATAGCAGCACAAAAATTTGCGGGCTGGCAACGCCACTTCAATAGTTTGGATCTTTTATGGTTTTATTAGCAGATGAGCACATGCTTATAGCTGCTCATAATTACTCACGAGCACTTGCTCAAATGCTCATAACTGCTCGTGAGTGCTCATGAATTGTTGCAACTGCTCACAGCCGCCTCAACACACTTGCTCATTTGCTCATAAATGCAATTTGTTATATAAAAACATTACATTTCGAAAAATGTTGTGCCGGCGGAATGAGCTTCAGATATTGTGGAATATTATTCAATCGAGCTTTTATCTTACCCTGACACGAAAAAGATCACTGTCCACAAAGAAATCAGAAATAAGTGTCTCAATCAGATTCAGACAGGAAAGATCCTATCCACAAAAAAATAATGCACACAAAGAAAGCGTTTGTAGAAAATGAGGACTTTTATTCGTGGGAAGCTATGAAGCCAGTAGCGGATCTAGAGTTAGTGAAAACAAATTACTGCTGCACATTTTGGAATATATTTACATTTTTAAGCCTCTCAGAGGAAAGACTATTGGTGAAATTATATTCTTTAGAAATTCGAAACCAAAAACCACTAGTGCTTTTCTGAAAGTACTTTGATTTATAATTAAGCAGCTTTAATTTACTTTGATCTCTACTGCTCCTTGTGGCTAACCCTAGATATGCCATTGATGTGAAGCTGTTTAATGAACTCTTGATGTTGAGTTTAGTGTGAAAATTGCTTTAATACTCCATTGCCAAAAAAATCGTCTTTCATTGTTTTTTTATCTATCTACTTAATTGGAACATGCCTCTTAGAGCTATACTGCCTTATATATAATGTGCGAGCGCGATGTTTTTAATGCACTGTTCAAATTAAAGTCTTATAAGAATCGAAGTGTTCAAATATGAATAAGTAAATGACAGATCTTTATGGCATATGGAAATGTTTTAACTCAAATGAAAATTATTTTAAGAAATTCAAACTATTGTTGCTGGACAATGGTGCAATCAAGCAAAATATTTCGTGTCTTCATAAAATGAAAAAGGCAAATTCCAATTAAAATTACGACTCGCTTCTACCTTTATACGATACTTTGTAGAGTAAACCGGTTATTGAAAGCCTAAAGGTAGTAAAACTGTTGTGTTGTTTCGAATAAAGGTTTTAATTACACAGTTTGATAAATTTGAACCAATTTACGTTGATAGGCTTACCGTATCAAATACTGGAAAATCAAATTTGAGCAATTTGCACTTCTATCAGTTCATACAATTATACATTAATCACAATGCCCTAGTTTCTTTCTTGAAATTCTCCAGGTACAATCTCTAGCAACTGATTAAAACGAATTTTCATTGAACTGAAAATAGCTTTAGTGCACGTAAATGGTAAAGAATGGCGCGATATTTAAATAAAACAAGTACTATGAGTTAATGAATCAATTGAATTCCTAGCAACTTGAATATTTTAACGTGTTAAAGTTCAAAAGTAGCACCATCTGATGGAGGTTTGCTCCAGTTTACTCCACCAGCTCCACAGGCCGCAAACCCTTCTTTCCCAAAATATTTGTGTGAGCAGTAGAAAATATGTAAACAAGCCATCTTTTATGTATTTTTTCAGAGCCAATATGTCACTTCACTGCATGGTGAAAAATAAGTAAAGTTATTTATTTTATACAATAGACACCTTCATATTTCTCACACCATCAATGATAACCATTGGCACTACTTTGTCATCATCATCAATCGGAAGACGAAAAGGATATTTCTTGACCATAAAACTATTCTCAACGAAGCCTTTGGTGATGATGAATTATTTGGTGGTGGTGTCGTTGCTATTGGTCAAAAACTGGAGTGCGATAAAGCGTTTTTTAATAGCAAATGGTCTTTTAAGGGCAAAATAAGCTCTTTGAATATGTGGAGCCGTGACGTAATGCGTGACGTATCGTGTTCAATGTTTTGGTTTAACGATAGCTGCGTTGTTAATCTCAATAAGCCTGTGATTGCATGGAGTGATCTAGACTTTTTCACAAGTGGCAATGTCTCTAGAGTGTTAACATTTGGTAAGTGTGTCGTTTGTGCAATGTTCATCACGCAATATTAAGATTGCAGAAATTTTAATTAATAACTTGTCGCATAAACAATATAGTAGAGATAGGCTCGAAACTGTAGGGGTTTACAGGAGTGACACATTAATGAAATCTTTTGTCTAGTCGGCAAGCTACAGGAAATTGTAGGGAAAATTTTATATCAAGATAAAAATACAACCTGATAAACTGCAAGATAGAAAACATAAGGAATTGTTAAAAATGTAATTGTTATTCCATAGTTTTAAAAGTACATTAATTAGGGTTTGTACTTGCACACATTAAATCTGTTTACATCAATTGAAAAATTATTATATAAAGTGGCAAAAAATATTTGGCAATTGCCTGACATCACCATATGTAGAGATTCTTTTAAATTTACTGAAGAAGCCGTTGTTTTGTAGCTACGTTCAATGAAAGCAGCCGATAGTACTAAGTTATCGTTAATTCGCAACATCAAACTCAGTTTTCTGTTGTGACTGTATTCCATATCATTGTACATGTTAATTAGTCCGTGATTGTATCCCTGTAAATTTTATTTTATCGTAGGCCTAATTTGCACCGGTCCAACGAAGATTAAAATTAACCAAAATTGAGTTCTAAAAACACAGGTTTATCTGGATTTAACTTAACCCATGTCAAGAGATAGATTGAATGAAATTCAGGGTGAACCTGAGTTAGGGGATGTTCACATAAGCTTAATAACAGGGATTGAGCGAGGAGTGAAATGATTTTGAGTCAATGAAAGTAGCAAAAACTTCAAGCGCAAAACTTAAAAACCATTTCTTATGGGTACTTAAACTTTTATATTGCATTTCATAACTTGTACAATTTTGTGTTGAATTTGATCTATCCATATCTGTCTGATAAGTTATTTTTACGAGCTTTCAAGCTTTATGCAACATGTCTTGCCAACCGCCCTTTATGTGGGGCAAAATAGATTGTGGACACACAGTTTCGATCATGATTACAAAACACACTTTCAATGTCGAATCTCATGTTAATCACTTTATCTGATGCCTTCTTTTTAAAACCTTAATCCTTTTCCCAAAACTTTTTCGTTTGACGTCATGCTCAACAATTTTCAACGATTTTACCTTATCGTTATAAAATGTTAAATTTCTCATCAATAATGCTAAGCACTTTCTTTTTCTCTTCTAATCGTCTGTACGTTTTCTTTCTCTCATTGAACTTGCAGATTTCCAAATTCCTTCAAAACCCTGCAGTTAGAAAAATAATGGTTTGTCATAGAATTCATATGTGTATGATTTGCAAACCAAGTTTAGCATACTTTTTATTCCAAGTGCTCTTCTATTGCAAACGTCTTGTATGCCCAAGAGGCAACACCATTAGCCTACATTTGTGTGATAAGTGAGGATAAAAATTTCGTAAGTTTTATGCTAAGTTTAATTGTACAAAATAAAATGTGATTAGTTAATCACTACGACTTCTTGAAAATGTCAATATACACTTATAACATTCATAGTTAGTCTAAAAACATATTTTGATTTCTCATATATAAACATGTATAAAGTTGTTTATGTCTATCATTGTTTTTTCTTAGATTGCAACTTTCCAGAATCTTTGGGCATGGAAAATAATGAAATACCTGATAATGCTATTACTGCGTCATCTGAATTTGATTATCTCCATCTGTCCAAATTTGCTCGATTGAATAACGGTAAAAGCTGGTCACCATTAAGAGATAAAAAAATGTACTCATGGCTTCAAGTTGACTTTGGTAAAGTTGTAACTGTAACCGGTGTTGCAACTCAAGGTGCTTCAACTATACACGGTGAATGGACCAAAACTTACTCAATTGCATACAGTAATAACGAGAGAATATGGTCATATTATCATGAAAATGGATCTTCAAAGGTATAACTTATATCACAAGTAATAATACAGAGCAATCGTATAATACTATGGTTCTTTAGTCGTAATAAACTTGAAAAACTGCATTTGTAAACACTATTAAACTGCGAGTTTCGAGTTTTTGGTGGCAGGCTGCGCATGTGTGAGTACTTTTTTCGGTTTAAACTGCAAAGTGCCTCCGCGTGTCAGTGTGTCAGTATGTCAGTGTGTCAGTATGTCAGTGTGTCAGTGTCTCAGCATGTCAGAGTATTTAAGTGTTAATGTGTCACAATTTTGGTGTTGTGGTGCAGTACAGTTTAGCACATGCTGAGATCTATATTCACCGTGTCAACAAGGTATAGGAGCATAAGCTAAGATTCAAGTTGTGCATTGTTGTTGTTTATCAATTAGCCTTTACATTAAAGAAGTCTTTGATTATCTAACAAAGTGGCAAGCAACGTGTTAAAACTTATTCAATTAACTTTATTCATTCGACCATGAACGTTACTAACTTTTTGGTCTTGTTTTGGGTTCAAATATAAAAAATCTTTTGGTCTTGTTTTGGGTTCAACTATAAAAAATCGAAAAAGAAAAATTCATAAAGTACATTAATAACACGATATGGTTCTAAGCCAAGTAACAACCATCCAACAATAAAAAGCATTGTATATTTCTCGTCGTTAATCGGGATTTTATATATCTGATCTTTGCACGACTAAAATTTTTCAACATTCAACAGTTGCTTCAGAATTTATTTGCCAAGAAATGAATATAAGTCAAAGCATTGCTTTACCTACTTGAAGATGTGTTTAGCTGAGTCATGAATGCAACGTTTTCCATATAAATATTGATGACATGCTAAAAATAAAAATATATATATTTAATTTAAAGCATTTAGGAAATATTGCTTGCATGCTGTTATTGTCGGAATATTTCTTTTTGAGAAGTTTTAAGTGAAGCAAATATGTTTAGCTAATCAAAGTTATCGTAATTGTGATTTGCATCTCAATTATTCTTCTCATTGAACAGGTTTTATTATAAACTTTTATTGTGAAATAGATAGTTTTTGAAAAATCTATAAATATATTGAGTTCACTAAATGCCCCAAAGTTGGTCAACATAAAACTGTTCATGATACCAAGTATTACCAAGTGATGCACTTTGATCTGCCCACCCACAAGCGTGAGCAACATACCTCCACTAAATAAATTTTCAACTAGAAAAGAGCTATGAACCTGTTGTTTAATAAAAGTTGAAAGAATGAAATATAACAATACACGAGTATTAACCTTTCACCAAAGGCATAAAAAGTTGGTGGAGTAGGTTGACAATCAATTCACATCAAGATCATCAACTTCTTAAAAATGCTCGACCACTAAAAATATTATATACTGTATAACTTGTAAAAGAACGTTTAAAATAATAACTAAATGAATGAATTTTGATGATGAACTAATGTAAATAAATGAAACATGACATCGTGGGTGCTCTCCTATCACATCTGCTGATGTAAAGAGTAATCTTTGAAATGTATCTCAAATTCAATATATTGAAAAACATATAAAGAATTCTTAAACTCAACGATGATGTTTTCTAATGTTTTTTATTCTTGCAATACATTTATATTATCAAAAATAGTTATAAAAATGGCTTGCAACGAACCTGATTAGATACATTGTACCTGTGCCATCAAGCCATTGTTACGTGCGTGGTCCCGAAAGAATAACTATTAATTTTGGTTCTATTTCCACACGCTACAAAGATGGTGTGAACCAGTTATATTTCTCAAAGAATTTATTAATAAACGCGTAAATATTAAAGTAGATAAGTGTCTTCATAATCATATTAACAGCTTAAATTAACAACTCAAAGATATGGACAATGTAAACAATTGTCTCATAAACCTGAAAAATTCAGGTGACTCAACGGGATTTGAACTTATGACCTCTGCGATTCCGGTACAGTGCTCTAACCAACTGAGCTATGAAGTCACACTGTCGAGGGCAAGACTTTGCATGTAAAAAGATTAATTTTTTTCGATAATAGCTTCACTCAAGAAAAACTAAAGCACTTAGTTACTTCAAAATAAATACAATTAATTTTCATCACTTTGAAAACACACATTATTTTAAATTTTGCTCGTCGTTATAGCTATTTTTAAATAGGCAAGTTACACGTTTGCGACGGAGTTTAATAACATTACGATATTTCACTTACAATTTAACAAGGCAAGCTTAAAAGACATTAACTATCACCAGACACAACTTTCGTTAACTTGTGATATTTGAAATAATCTGAAAGGATGTAATAAAATTTGGCAATTTCAAACATTCATATGTTTGAGAAAATAACAGTGCGTTACCGGAATTTCCCTGATATTTACTATAACGTCAAAAATAAGCCAATAAGTGTTTTTATTGATATGATGGAACAAAGAGGCAATGGAATGAGTTTATAGATTACATTGTGCACTTGCACTATGATCAAAATTTTATACTGTTTCTTATTTACTGTTTTCAATTTTAAAGTTGTTTATTATCATTTTGGTCTCTCTTGCTAACTAATACGTATTTAAGAAACAAGTCCATATCTAACAGAATTCAGCTTTCCTCAGATTAAAAGCTCGATTTCATACAAACAATAGATGGTGACAAGGAATCACGAAGTATGATTAGGTCAAAAGCTAAATAGAATTTTTTAGTGACGAAAGCTTCATTATGCTTAGTTAGAAAAACAAACTTCAAAAGTCACAATTAATAATGAGTGATCTATAACTAAGCCAAAACTAGTCTCCAGTCAGTTTAAATAGATATCTGAGGATGGTGCTGCATTTATAATGACGGGTGTTGTAATAAAAAAGGTCAGTTGATATTCAAAACCCAATCATCATACGAATATAAGATAAACTTTATATAATAATACAATCACAATCTTGAGTTCCTATACTCTAATTTATAGAATTTTTTAAAATAGAATAATCAACTATATACCAAAGAAGATTGATAGACGCAGCCAGGAGAAACAGAATGCTGCTTATTAAGGAAAAGCAGAAAATGAGTGAATTACCACTTTATTTGGCAACGCTTCTAACAAAAAATAGTCACCAAAAATTAAAAGCTGTTCAAATTATTCTAAAGAAAATGTTGAAATTGTTCAATTTCTAAGTAAAATTAGTTGCCAACAATTTTTAAAGTTTATTTGGTGTTGACCACCACAGTTAACACAGTAATGCCTTTAACAGGGGCTGTTAATTAACAACTTTGAGGTTGGCAAAAAGCGTACCGAGAGTTTGTTTCTGTTGAAAGACAACATGAAACACCCAGCACTTTGTATGGGAATGTTACTATCTACTAAAAAGGATGCAATCAAACAAGATCAGTCTATTTCAGTCCATTTGAACATGTCTATTTTTCAATGAATTTTTTTATATAGAATTAGTTGAAAAATCTCAAACAGAAAAAAATATTGGCTTCATAACAAAGAAAGTTATATTATTGAAAAATTTCATAAATAAGGGCAGGCAAAAATTTGATTGAATAATTCATTTCTTTTTGTTTACAACTTGGTCTGAAAACGAAGTCAAAAAGTGTGAAAAGTGCATTTTAGTTTGTCAATGATAAATATGTTGTCTAAAAAATTTTCTTTACTTTTCAAGCAAGAAACAACGCGTTTTATGTATTTTTATTCATTCTATAAATTTAGTGTAGCGTAGAAAGCCGAATTCACTTTAAAGCGCATGATGTGAAGGTTATAGCATTATTTTTGGTTATATCTTTAAAATACCTGTTTTTCTCTGCAGCAAGCCAACAAAAATAAAGCTAAAAAAAAGTCATTGCACGAAAAATCGCAACTGTCTACGCAAATGCAATGATCTTCGTGAAACGCTTGGATATGAACAGGATCTCTTTTTCCAAGACGGTAGTAAATTGTAACCTAACAATTGGTTGACTTTTGTTTTTTTAGGTTTTTAAAGGAAACAACGATAAAAGTACAATTGTCAAAAATTTTTTTTCGTCACCAATAACTTGCCGCTTTGTTCGTTTTTTACCAAAGACATTTGAATCATTTCCAACGACAAGGATCGAATATTATGGGTGTAAAGTGTGAAAAAAATAGTTAAAGTAACTGGAAAACATTACTTGTCTTGTACCTAATATATATCCATATGAAAAAATTCTTGTTTCTTATTTTTTAAGAGCAGTACGTGCAATTTTTTTGTGAAATGCCTCTGTGAAAAATAGAATACCCTTGAAAATTTCTTTTCGAAGTGCTCATGGTTGGTTGATGAAACCAAGAATAAACAAAAAGTGTTTATTAAATAAAAACATTTCAAAGACGATAAACCCAAATTTTTGCAAGCAAAATAAACAAAAATGGCTGGTGTAAGTTTTAAGCACATTTTCATTCAAGTCCAAAAAGTATTTGCAAACTTTTCCAAAAATAAACATTTTTTGTTATTGCTTCGTCTTTGGAAGCAACGGTTTTCCAACATAAATATCTGAAGAAAATAAAAAATAAGAGCCAGTGAATTTTAACAATTTGCATTCTATAATGTAACTAATGTAACTAATTAAACTAAAAACAAGCAGAACAGAGAATTTTTTATTGATATTATTAAGTGGTAGTATAGTTTCTCCTGTAATTGGAAAATAAGGACTTCATAGCATTTAAAAATTCACACGATCATAGTTTTTTTTCATATATTGCACTCGAAACCATGCTGTTCCTTACACAAATTATTCACGTTATTTTTTAGCAGTAAACACTATTTAAAAGTAATAATAAGTAAGCAAAGTGTGTCACTCAAGAACTAGTATACGACTTCTAAAACTTTTATATTGTGTTAAATTTAAGCCTTTTACTTAATTGAATGTAACATGATTTATGTGTTAAACCAATAAATTGCAGACATTTTTTTGCTCTTATTTATTTTTTTGTTTTGGGATCTTTTTTTCAAATAACAAAAGCAAAAAGATCCCTTCAATTTGTATTCAGTAAATATTTTAGATTTTTTTAAACAATTAGAGCTACTTTAACACATCCAAACAATTTTTAACAATCAATTAATTGTACTAAAATCAAAATTATCTCTTATAAAAAGTTTATTATGGAACTTCAGAGCAATTTCAATAACAAAATTTTTATTTAAGGCTTTGATAAAGGGTCACATCACGGAGAAATAACATTGAGAATGTTATCGATTTGCCACTGTTCACAAAAATGCGTGGAAATCTTGCTTTTTCTAAAATGAAAGTATCAGGGGGTTGAAACTGTTTCAATTTGATTTTACTATTATTAAGGTTAAAAATGCCTTAGAATAATAATCTTCTTGAAGGATTGTCATTTGAAGCAAATTCATATTTTTGCAATAAGCTGGGCTTTAATGTTCATTATATGATCATCAATTTATGACTATGGCACAATATGTAACTGAAATTTTCTGCAGATCTGTAACTAACAAATGCTTAAATATGGTGCAAATTCCCTGTATTCGTAGGACTTTCTTCTGTATTGTGCTGCAAAATTTACAAACTTAATCTTGATTGTGGAGAAAAGTGTTAAAAATATTGTTTAACTCAGTATTGAACCTTGGTTGGTAGAGGTAATTGAAACTGATCCTGTCAATATTCGTCTTAATTCTAAGGGATCTGTAGTTCATGGCAATGCCTTTAAAGCTGACCATTTTGTGGTTCTTTTATTTTATTCAATGATACAAAAGCATTAATCTGTTGACCACGCAGTTTGTGAGAAAGTTTAAAAAGTTATTCATAATGCTCGACAAAAAGTAAGTAACGTGAAGAATTAAAGAAGTGTGACAAATATTGTAAGCATCCACTGCCAATGAAGATGTGGATGTTGTTATAAATAATTTGGTAACTGTTGCTAACTCATCTGATGAAGATAAATTATAAAGTGCTTTGGAAAAATTTGATATTGCTGTTTTTCAGGAAATAGTAATAGGTATGAATTGTTCAGAAAGAAAAAAATTGATTCATGATGTTTTTAGGAAAGACAAATCATATACCTTCCAAAAGAAAAACGGCAGGTCTTTAAAGCACAAGTGGTTAAAAAATTAATTGGCTTGGCTTTTTATCCTCACGTTATGACAACCTTATACCTTTCAGAAATATGAAGGGAGAGGTACTAGGGGAAGAGCCATAGTGAGAGTATATTCTAATTTGATTTAAGTTGGATCTTTTGCAAGAACATCTTGGCCTGGTTTTTGGGACAACAAAATTGTTACGAGAAGAATCACTTGCTTGATACAAGAGTATATACACGATATACCACTACACGACCAAAGGAAAATTAATGGTGGTAAATGATTGGAGTCTAGCTTCCTTTTCCATTGTTGGCGTAGAACTATCTCTTATTTCCTGTATCATATCATCAACTTTCCTCTTCTTTTGCTCTCGTAAAATCATTTTGATTGACTGTAACTGAGGTTTATGAAGTATCTCTTTCTGTTGAACAATCATCTCTTTTAGGTATTATCAACCCAGTTAAAAGAGCAAATGAAGAATATCTTGCTTCCAAAACGATCAGCCAATGCTTAAAAGAGATGATTGTTCAAAAGAAAGGGATACTTCATAAACCTCAGTTACAGTCAATCAAAATGATTTTACGAGAGCAAAAGAAGAAGAAAGTTGATGATATGATCCAGGAAATAAGAAATAGTTTTACGCCAACAGTGCAAAGGAGCTAGATATACTGAGCGAAAAAGGATCGTCATCATGGTTAAGTGTACTTCCATTACAAGATCAAGGATTTAATTTGAACAAAGGGGAATTTCGAGATGCATTAAGTTTACGTTATGGATGGCAATTGAAAAATGCCTCTCCGCACTGCATTTGTGGAAAGGCTTTTGCAACCGATCACGCGATGATATGTCCTCATGGTGGTTTACCAATAGTGAGACATAATGAAGTTCGAGATATAACAGCACAGTGGATGGCAGAAGTTTGCTCGACAGTTGTGAAAGAGCCACAATTACAACCTCTTTCTGGGGAAGTGATATTACCTCGTACAGCCAATAGACAATAAGAAGCGAGACTAGATATTCGTGCTAAAGGATTTTGGTCCAGACAGCAAGATGTATTTTTTGATGTAAGGGTATTTCACCCAAACGCGTCGAGCTACCAAAGCACCAATCTACCTGCAGTCTATCGTCAGCATGAGATGGTTAAGAAAAGGGAATATGGTGATCGAGTAAGAGAGATTGAATATGCTGCTTTTACACCACTGGTCTTTTCAACATCAGGTGGTATGGGGAAAGAGACGGCAATTGCTTATAAACGGCTAGCTGATCTTCTGGCACAAAAGAGAAAGCTGCAATATGGCATCACGCTAGCGTGGATGCGTTGTAAACTGTCTTTCGCACTGATTAGGTCAGCAATTACGGCGATACGAGGAAGTCGATCTGCCTCAACTCGCGAACATACTTTAAATATTGACCTAGGTTATTGGGAAAGTTGTCTTTACATTTGACTGTCCCTTTATCATGGATATTTTAAACATTGATTTTAGTTATATTTGATTTAGTTTTTAACATTTATATTTGTATGTTGTAGTTATAATTTTAATTAAATTTTAATTTTTTCATCGAGAAAAAAAATAAAAAATTATTATTAATATTATTATTATTATTATTATTATTACATATTATTATTATTATTATTATTATTATTATTATTATTACTTTGTTGTTATTATTATTGTTGTTATTATTATTATAATTATTATTTTCTTACTGTCATCACTCTTCTTATTATCTATTAATTTATTAGCATTATCACTTTAACAGGTTGATCTCTTAAGAGAAATACATAAAAATATTACTATGATCATCATTATGTACAAAATCACAAACTGATATCGACAGAGGACAGACGTCTTTATCAAAAGGTCCAGATTAAGACACAAACTAACATTGACATCGTTAAATATAAGATGCATGAAAGATGCAATCCTCTAAAGTCACATACTACCCAGAATTATAGAATTAATTAACTCCAATGGAGGCATAGACATGGAAGGAATGGAAATTATTGGATGCTTGGAGTTTAAAATGTGTATTACATGCAATTTGTATTTATTATCTTTTGTGAGGGTAATTATGATATCGCACAAAATTTAAAAAATATAAATTACAACTCCTTTGGGGATCACTTACAATTAAGTCGTTCAAATTTGAACCGTGGATAGCGAGTGAGAAGAGGGGTGCCATCACTCTGCCAGAAGAGTGGAAGTTAAACCCTAAGCCTCTCGCAGTTTACCGCTGCTCATATGATACCACTCGTTTTCTGCCTGCTCAATCCAGAGACCCTTAATCTGTATCTTGCCATTCTTTAGATTCGCACCTTCCTCAAACCGCGCCATCACAACGTTCTGTCGTACGAGATCAGGCAGCGTTCCTGTAGCAATTCTCAGTAAACCACATAAACGGTCATCACCACCATGGAGGTCAAGCTTGTTTACCTTCAGCTGCGCAACAGTATGAGAGAGAGTGCCCTCGGTATCCTCATTCGCACTTTTTGTTTCGTTTCGCACCACAGCATTCTGCAAACGAGCAAGTTGCTCCTACTGATCTCTGATCACCGAAGCAGCAGCCGTCTTCTCCTAAGTGGTCACCCAAAATGGCATGTCCATGAAACATTCAAACAAGGCCTCGAGCGTTCAATATAGCAAGACACTTGCTCATGATGCGGCTCCCGTTAATGAGGAGCGCGTTAATAAAGGCAGCATCGCTAGTCATCTTGCCCCAGACGCCTCTAGGCATAAAATGACGATCATCATTTTATAAATTTGCTCTCGGGTGTTTTGGAGTAGGTTTCAAGCAAGGCCGCCAAATCACCGAACTTGTGCCCTGACTCCGAGACCACAAGAGCATGCTGTTTGATCTCCTGCAATTTCCGCCTCGCCAGGCGAAACTGGGGATTACCGAAGTCGACTACGGCGTTAGCGACCACCTCAAAGGGATACCTGCTGAGAAACTGTTGGTTTACGTTGTTTACAAGCTCGCGATAGTCAGCCACGATGGAAAAACGCATATCCTGATCCGCCTGATGCTCCCTGGTATTTGCTTCAAACCCTTGAGGGCTTTCCGTAACAATTGTACCAGCTGCGCACGCGGAGTGAAATAGTTGCTTTTGAGAAAGTCCTCGGGAATCTTCTAGCCCGCCTGAAAGCGGCCAGAGACGAGCAGCAGCAAGCGATCGAACTCCCCCTCTTTCCGAGTCTGGAGAGGTTGTAGTGACCGCCGGGAGTTGTTTTTTTCAAACGGACATCAGCGACGCTGTTGCAAACTTGGCCTGTATCTTCAGAATAGTTCATTGAGAAGCTCAGGGTGGCCCTCGAACAAGGCATATAGCTCTTTTACGCTTGGGTGTTTTT